ATAAATTTGTATGCAAAGCTACCTACTAGCCATACTGGGTTAAATAACCCCACTTAGCACCGCGCTACCCTGTCTCATGCTAGAGACTTATATCGCACCTTATGTATCTTTGTATGTACCTTGATATCTTCAACCCCACCAAAATTCTTCGAACAACTGGAACTTTGCATGTGCTGTAAGCATTGGAACCTTGAATGATGGACATGAGTCAATCTCGGCAGATCTTAAATTTTGTGACGCTATTCCGATCTATTTTCCAATAATAAGATTCCTTTATATTTACAAGATTTACTTAATTATCTATTTCCTCGTTAAAAGCTCAAGTCCTATAGAGAATGCCACCGGCGCTTTGTGCCCTCTGCAAGACAGAGCGAGCCTTGATCAAGAGGCCAAAAAACTACCAGAAGCTTTGCAAGAGCTGTTTTATCCGAATATTTGAAGATGAAGTGCATCACACAATAACTTCGTCAAGGCTTTTCTTTCCGGGGGAAAAAGTTGCCATCGGTGCATCGGGTGGCAAGGATTCAACCGTTTTAGCTTCGGTGCTCAAGACACTGAACGAGAGACACAACTATGGAGTTGATTTAATACTTCTGAGTATCGACGAGGGCATTAAGGGTTATAGGGATGATTCCCTTGAAACAGTTAAACGCAACGCGGTGCAGTACAACATGCCGCTGAAAATAGTAGGCTATGATGAACTGTACGGCTGGACCATGGACCAGGTTGTGGAGACAATCGGCAAGAAAGGCAATTGTACTTATTGTGGCGTCTTCCGACGACAGGCTCTAGATAGGGGCGCGAAGATGTTGGGGATCAAACATGTCGTCACAGGTCATAATGCCGATGATGTCGCAGAGACCGTTCTTATGAACCTCCTTCGAGGAGATCTACCGCGCTTATCAAGGAGCACGAGCATTGTTACCGGAAGCGACGCGAGCGAGGTCAAGAGGAGTAAGCCGCTAAAATACTCATACGAGAAGGAAATTGTATTGTATGCGCACCACAAAAAGCTCGACTATTTCAGCACCGAATGCATCTACAGTCCGGAAGCCTTCAGAGGAAGTGCTAGAAGTTTGATCAAGAATCTAGAGAAAGTCCGTCCCAGTGCCATATTGGACGTCGTTCGAAGTGGGGAGGATATGGCGAGACTGGTACCCGGTGCTACACCAAGTTCTTGTGCTTGTGATGGGAAGGCTATACCTAACCGAGCCCCTACTGATGAAGATAATATCGGTGGCTGCGGTTCGTCAAATGGTCGCACAAACGGTGGTGAGATGGCGGCTATGGAGAAACAACTCAGAGAAAATGAAGCAGCCGAGACCGCCGGACTCGAAACAGAGGTCACGGCTGAAAAGCCCAAGGCACAATTTCATGACAGGTCAAACCCAGTCAACGGTCAACAAAAGACAGCAGGCACTAGTCTTCCCATCAGGTTGAAGCAAAAGCTTGGCACATGCGAGAAATGTGGTTATATGTCGAGCCAGAAGCTATGCCAAGCTTGTATGCTTCTCGAAACCCTGAATAAGAACCGTCCAGAGATTACGATATAGACATAAAGTAGGCAGGCGTTCCGGCATCCCTGGGTCTGTTAGAATAGGATTTAAATGATACCCTAAATAAAGTGATGACCAGCAACAGACGCACGACAAGACTGCTTGAATATCAGGGGCTGTATTTTATAGACTTTGTACAAGTAGTTGTCCGTCGTGGACATGTTTTTTCCTTCCCCAACCTCTCTATTATTCCATCTACGTAAATCGCTTCTCGACCTATATAATATGTCAGTTCCAGGTATCATCAACGTATTTATCAACTGCAGAACATACCCGCCATGGGTTGTTCAGCTCGAATCCTGCGGGGGCTGCGGTTGCGTCGCTCTGTCCTCGTAGCCATCCTGTAAGGCGCATGTCGCGGTTCATCACTGCGGGAAATAAAGTCAGTTTCCACCAAGCCCAAATACATCATATTGCGGATTTGCCGTACTCTGTCTATCCCACTGATCTAACGATCGCCTCGCCCTCTTGCCGCCGTTTTGCCAATTTCTAAATTTGGAAAGTCCCGCGCCAGTGGCGCTAAACATCTGATAAAGCCTTAGTATCCAAACAGTCTACTGTCGAGGTAAGTTGTCGTAGGCCAGGAGGTCTTACGGCTAGGATGATTCCATATGGAATCAGTGCTTCGAAGGGGACGGCCATTGCGGAACTACAGGCTGCGGTAAGACGAAAAGTTAGTGTGGAAACATTAGGGATATATCGTGATTAGGTTTGCGGGACTCACAATGATGTATGACCGCACGGTCGGTTGCAATTACTTGTTGAGGGTGTCAGTTGACAGGCAACTTGTAGTAGCTTTCTTTGTGTGATTGAGGTCGAGATGGTTGAGTTCGATAGCCAATGATGTCGACTCAATATTGCAGCCTAAGGCAGAATAATTTGCCTTGGCAGCCTTAGCGACGTTAAGTTAGTGAAGCAGTTCCAGGCTGCTTTGGCAAGCTTCGGCGTTAAATGGCTCAATGGGTCTAAGCTTTGGGGTACCTGGGGTACCATACATATTGGGTTAGTCAGTGCGCCTTCTAACTTGCATAGATGTTGTCAAGGCGACTTCCCAAGATGACTAAATTGTGGAGCCATAGCAGTTGCACCACCAACTTTAACTCACCACATCCAAAGACGGCGCGAGGGGGATTCATTTCATCACTTTCAAGTACATTAATCACCCTTCGTCACTTCTTTTATTATTTATTTTCCCAGGAAGACGCGTAGAATCCTTCTCCAAATCAAGGGATTCTATGACTAACGTGCAATAATTACCTTAGCCACGATATACGGCGCGTCTACAACCTCACTTCCAAGTCGGCGAAATAAACTCCAATCCACACGTCTCAAATGCCTTGGGTATTACCAGCATTCGATTTTATACCTATCCCGTCTTTGTACTCCCAATATTTCCGAGCTTCATAGTCATATTCGTCCTTTTACGACAGGTATGCGACAAGGTCCTCGGTAACGCGAAGTGGCGCGACTCGGAGGTGTTGGAGCACTCGTTACAAGATACACCTAATCCTATACTGCCGCCTCTCACATAAATAGAAAGACACCACACTTTAATACACGATACTCGTCAACCTTACATGCCAAATCCGTAAGGCGATGGCCAATACGCAACTCATGCAAGAAGAACTACAACAAAGCGTAGTACTGTCCGAAGAGGATGCCGAGTTTGAAGAGGAGCTACCAAACGACCCTATGATGGTAGATAGCGGCGGCCCCTTGCCCTCGGGCAACCCAGGGGATTCGGCCTATACAACGGCCGATCATATTACACAAAGTTACAGCAATGATAGTACCATAGGTGCGAACATGGTACTCGGAGACAAGACGGCTACACACTACGGCGCAGAAGGAGAATTAGACGGTATGCCAGTTAGTGGTGGTGAAGCTGGTGATCACGATGACGAGGCCTCGGTCAGCGATGGTGACATTCATGACGATGACGATGCCTTCGATGTTGATGCAGAAGGAGAGGAGGACGACGATGACGCTAGACAACATCATATTAATGCAAACGCTAATTCTAGCGATGAGGAGGATGTGGCAGAAGAAGCTGCCGACGTGGATGAAGACGAAGACGAAAACGAAGGTGTTGGCGCCGTAAAAATCAAACCTGGCGATACCGATGAAGAGAGCGATAGTGACAATGATATCAGCCTGATGTCAGGCTCCAGTCGGGAATCAGCAGCAGAATGGGAAGAAGCCGTCGAAAATGACGACGAAGAAGAGGAGGAGGAGGAGGAAGACTCTGACGCTGCTGACCCTAATAGCTGTATCTTTTGTAAAAAGGATGAGGAACACGATCCGGGAGAAGAATTCGAGGCCTACCTTGCATGCAAGAGATGTGGTGAACATGGTACGTATAATGTCTCTGTAGGTGTTTATCCCTTTTTATTAGTGATCTAACTTGCGACACTTAGCTCACCAACAATGCGCCCGAGAAGAAGGAGCACTTGACGATAAAAACAGTATGTTTCGCGCCCGATAGTTTATGTTTAGTTATGTCACTCACCCATTTATATAGATGCATCAATTTGGAGATGTCCAGACTGTGCTGCTGATGATTCAGGATCAGGCTCGGAAGCGCCTTTTGATCGTGAGAACGCAGAAGGCGATCACGATATAGAGCTGAATGGGGCTGACGATAGTGATTTATCCCCTACTGTGACCAGTCTATCAACCGCTCCCAAACTTGTCCGAGATCTACTCCCTTCTCAACGCGGCATGAACAAGCCGAATTCGCACTCTATTTTTGATCAGTCGATACCCGACGGAGACCCTATGGATTCGCGAAGCCTGCGGAAAAGGAAGACGTCGTCACCCGAGGCGGAGGTGAACGTAGAGGAAGCAATGTCACTACGGAAGCGAAGAAAAAATACTTCTGATGAATCTGCTCAAGACGAAGTGATACAGGAGACAGCAAACTCGGCAGAAGCATCAAGTAGACCAAGGTCAGGGCGTTCCCTGCGGCGCAAAGCATCAACTTCAGAGGCTCTATGCACGATTGTTAAGAAGTCGCGTTCTACCCTGCTGGTAAAGATGCGAGTGAGTGCTACGGAATTGCATAAACTTTCACACACCTCAAGAGCCCGGAGGAAACGATCTGGCCGGGCAACCACATCCCGATCATCTCGTTCATCCAGAAATGTCGCGTCAACACGAGCTGCAGCTGTTGCGGAACCACCCCCAATGACGCCGTTCTTTCCTTCCAGCTATTCCCAGCCATTTTACTCCTTTTATGATAAAGAACCAGATGAGCTTAAGGGTAAGCCATATGGTGGCATCCTAAGCGAGGAACAAGCGGATACGACGAAGACGCTACCCACTAAAGATGACCGGCGACGGTTCGATGAGGCGAAACAAAAGGCGGAAGAAGAATGGAGGAATAGATTGCTTGCTATGCAAGCCGAAGCAGAGGTACCAGTAAAGAAGTCACGGAAGGCTTCTGGTCCCGCAAGCCAGATTGAATGCATCGAATTTGGCGGCTGGGAAATAGACACGTGGTATGCTGCACCGTACCCCGAAGAGTATAGTCGCAACCGAGTCCTATACATTTGCGAATTCTGCTTAAAATATATGAACTCGGATTACGTTGCCTGGCGTCACAAGCTCAAATGCGCCGCAAAACACCCTCCTGGCGATGAGATATACCGACACGGCTCAGTTTCCTTCTTCGAGGTTGATGGTCGAAAAAATCCAGTGTACTGTCAAAACCTCTGCCTTCTAGCCAAGCTCTTTCTCGGTTCCAAGACGCTATATTACGATGTTGAGCCATTCCTATTCTACGTCCTTTGCGAGTACGATGATCTAGGCTATCACTTTGTCGGCTACTTTTCCAAAGAAAAGCGTGCGAGCAGTCAGAATAATGTGAGCTGCATCCTCACATTGCCCATCCATCAGCGAAAAGGTTACGGCCATCTGCTCATCGACTTCTCTTATCTTTTAACAAAAGTAGAGGAGAAAACTGGCTCTCCTGAGAAGCCGCTATCTGATATGGGCCTCGTGTCGTATCGAAATTATTGGAGATTGGTCATGTGCAAGTATCTCATTGAACACATGCCCGAAAACAAGTTGCAGAGGAAGGGCCTGAGCATTAGGCAGATATCAGACGATACAGGAATGACTCCGGATGATGTTATCTCGGCCCTCGAAGCACTCCGTTTCCTCGTTCGGGATCCCGTCACTCAAGTCTACGCGTTCCGGGTTGATATATCCTACTGTCATAAAGAAGTTGCAAAATGGGAGGCAAAGAATTACGTTAAGCTAATTCCCAAAAACCTCACATGGATGCCTTATGTCATGGGCCGTAGCAACGCTACAAATTTCGAGTTGGGGCCAGCCCTTAACACGATCGCTCCCCGCGAAGAGGACGAAGAAGTCAAAGCTGTCCAGACCCTGGAAGAGAGCGGTATTGCGACCGGAGACTTCGCTATCCAGCAGCCTGCCAACCAAAAACCGCCTCTAGGCGCCGAATCGTCCGTCCTCGAATCGACGGAACCAAATGATAATGCCATTATCGAGCCTCCTGAGGATATAAAACCTAATGGTATTGGCAAGGAAAACGCAAACACTTCTGCAAGCCGGTCTGAAGATCCAAGTACTTCGGTTGGTGCTACTGCTCCTGCGAATATTCCAGAGGACGAAAATGATTGGCTTAAGCCATATGAAACTATCCCAGCCAACAGATTCCAAGTTTTCCCTCCGATAAATAACAGGCGCACGGCCATTTCACGCCTCAACTCGAGTATTGCTAGACCGCCGCCTCTTCCGCGTATCCCACCTCCAAGCTCGCGACGAACTGTACGGCCCAAAGCTCGTCGCTCAACAGGTGGTGCCAGTATTCGGAAGTCGGCTCAGAAGACAACTTCAGGTAAACGTAAGCCTGGCGGCACCGGCCGTGGTCCCGGTCGATGGCCGAAGGGTACCAAGAAGAGTGATTACGGTAACGCAGATAGCGGTCCTGGTTTACCACCGGCATGGGTTGAGCGAAAACGACTGGCAGATCTAGCAGCAACTACCACAGACGAAAACGACACTCAAGACACAGTCCAGGTGCAAGTCACCGAGGCTAGCAGGAGTCAGAAGGGCAAGCAAGTCGCATCCTTCTCTACCAGTTTCGATACCACAGCCGATACTGCAACCAACAGCGAAGCCGCATTGCCCGGTGATACTGACGTCGATGTGGATATGAGCGGCGTTGGTAACTATCAAGAGGACGCAAGTGCAGAAATAGGAGAGACATAAAGCACCGTTTATAGTCTCAGACAGGTATTGTAGTTATTTGTATTATATCAGGTGTATAGTCGCGATGAGTTTTAGGGATTCGTAGGGAAGATATTCATTGATTCGCGACGCCGCGAGCTTAGGGAGTGTTCAAAGCTAAAGGAATGGCGTATGGCGAAGATATTTAGTTGCGATGCTGGTAGATACCTAATGGAACATTTGATTTTATCATTACTCAGCTTGGCTTTTTTTTCATGGCTCTAGTTTTAAGGTCTAGGGAGGTGTGTAAAGGCTCGAATAAATTCAGGGGTAAAAGCATTTATATGCATACCTACCTTCTAACGTCTGTCCTATGCTAATTAAGGTCGACTTTGCTCAAGACTAAAATCAATTCAGTGTTAGAAGCTTCTATTTTTACTTTCTTGCGCGATAGATGAACAGGTCCTTCGTTTCTTAAGCGGGATATTCATATCATATTCGTAGGTATTTGAAGCATTAGGCACTTACCTCCGCATATTACTGCTTGTGACATGATTTCGCTTCCGTAAGGGGGTGTTAGGCCATATATAACCCTTTATTCTATGTTATAGAAAACCTACTCACTAAATATCACGAGTCACCTATTGCAATAACTATTGATTTAATGTTTGGGATTTTGAGATATAGCAAGTCTTGACTGGTAGCACATTAGTTATTTAACGTACGTACATACTAAGTATGTATTCTTTATTCATAGTTGGTATTAGACCAACTGCTAGGAAAAGTTTTAGGTATTATTGGTTATAATAAAAGACTTCTATTGCGTATATTCTTAGTCCGACCTCAGCCAGATACATCGTTTTTTATGCTTCGACAAAGTTCTGTCCTTTCTGCTCTCATCCTTAGATGTATCTAGTGCCTGGGTAGGTTTCAACATCTCACCAAGTACGATTATTAACATTATGCCTCGACATGTAAAAGACATCCTGTGATAATAAATCAACCCTCGAATTTGATTTTTTATTATTGGGCTGAATTAACGAGGTGTTTCGCTTCGAAGGTCTGATGAGTTCGGACCTTTAACGGTTTATAAGTTCTATGTAATACTTAGCTTATAAAGCTTGACCAAGCTCCAACCAACTATGGAAGGCTGAATATGTGATTCTTCCTATGTTATATGTATGAATCCATTTCCCCAAGTGCCAGCTGATTGCACTACAGGTCCCTTTAGAGTATTTCCGCTACTTGTAACTAGCTGAACTATCAAGCTGTGTTTACAAGTACAAAAAAGCTACCCATTTTGAATATTTTCAGAAGTCTACAAAAGGAATTATATCATTATCATATATGAGATGTTTTATGTAATTAAATTTAGGTGGACGGTTGATAGAAATTGTACACTTGTATGATTAGTTACTTGTATGTATGAGCTTTATATACGGCTTAATGCATTAAACTCATAAACGCATATCATTTAAATCGGCTAAGGACGTATTCAGGTACAGTCGGCAACAACTTGTAATTGATGCCGTCTATGTTTCAGCCTTGCAGATAAGGATAAGGGGTAATGACCAATGATTACAGACACGGCTAAAGTTGAACTTTGTCCAGTTTGTTTGTTTAGTTTCAATTCCAACGCATCACCTGGCATCTTCCATTTCGATTAGACAGGTGTATCGTATAATGAATGGCCTCGCTGGTTCGAGGTAGTCAGCGGATTAGGCAGCTATGAAGCGCCCAAACATATTGAGCTTGGTAATGCCGGGCCGCGTAATCTCGACGCTATTCCTCTTGGCCCTGCATCAGCTTCTCATCGCACCCGTCGTCGCATACACGGCGCTATCGGACAACTTTCTTAAATTGGTCCCATCCGGAGGTGATGACTTCGATATTGAGAAAGGTAAGCTTCTCGCGCCAGTTTTAATCCCGCGGGTTCCGGGCACTCCCGGTCAGGCTGCTGTCCAAAAACATTTCGTGGACTTCTTCACCAACGAGCTACCAAAATGGAATATCGAGTGGTATAATTCAACTTCGAAAACCCCTGTCTCAGGGAACAAAGAGTTACCATTCGCGAATCTGGTATTCAAGAGGGAGCCACCATGGGTTAAAGAGGGACAGTCAAATCTGTTGACGCTCGCGGCTCATTACGATAGCTTGATTACCCCTGAAGGATTCGTTGGTGCTACTGATAGCGCAGTGCCTTGTGCTATTCTCATGCACGTTGCGAGGTACATCGACAAGTTTATTACACAGATGCACGACGAAATGTCTGCGCTTGGCGAAGGAGGAACTGTGGCGATGGATATGGGCGTACAAATTATCTTGTTCGATGGCGAGGAGGCATTTCAGAGGTGGTCGGAAACTGACTCGCTCTACGGATCCCGGTAAGCCTTAATATATATTCACCTTTGTACGATACAGCACGGACTGACGAAAACTCAGAGCTCTGGCTGAGCATTGGGAGAATTCCCCTCACCCAGCAATGTCGTTCTACCGCAACCCGCTGGATCAGATTAGCATGCTTGTGCTTCTGGACCTTCTCGGGGCCCCTGACCCAACGGTGCCGTCGTTGTTCCTGTCAACGCATTGGGCTTATAAGGCTATGGCCAGTATCGAAGATAGGATGCGTAAGCTAGATCTTCTTGAGTCGAAGCCGAAGCGCCCCTTTCTACCCGAATCGGAGAAGAAGCCAACTTCTTTTCGATCTCTCTACATCGAGGACGATCACAAGCCCTTTATTGCTCGTGGGGTGCCAATTCTACATATGATTGCCTCCCCATTCCCCGATGCGTGGCACACAATGGCAGACGACGGCGCCCACCTAGATATGCCGACTGTACGTGACTGGTCTAAAATCGTCACAGCTTTTACGCTCGAGTGGTTGGATATGATGGAGGTTGAACCTACAGAAGCTACCGATGGCTCTAGCGCCAGGTAGATAACTGTTAACCTATTTGATATGGATTGGTTGCTGGATCTTTTTGTATTTTATATGGGAGCGATTTTATGTTTTATGTATTGGCGTTGAATGGGCATAGTGATTCTCGCTACCTAAGCCCCTGACTTATTTCTCTCAACGGCAACGGTGTAAGGAAGTGCCTTTGTCACAAGCAAGCGTTGTATTGCAATAATTATCTCCAGTACTCCTGACTGCATATTACCAATAGGTAATACTACGTTCATGTATGCGCTCACCAGTAAGCAGGTCGTAATGCAATGTATGTATGGAGATTTTGTGCATAAGGGTACATTCGATGAAGCTGAAAGGTTTCTAAAGGGTTCAATTGAGATTGAGGACTCCACTAATCTACGTCATCCAAGACTCGACGAATAGGGTGACATGCTTCTACACATACTAAAGTAGGTACATACGTAGTAGTACATACGTGGAGTACATTATGTACATAAGGTAATGCAAGAACCTTATGTACAATACGTAAATGTACTGGAAATGCTCATGTGTAAAACGGAAGAAGCGTAGCTTGCGCGACGCTGACCAACAGGAAGACAGTACACGTCGATGGGGCTCACGGGGACGCTTTCCTGCCGCGTCACAAATGGCCACCCTAAAGTAAGAGTAATGGAAGTACATATTTTATGTATTGTACCATGTACGTATCTTATCATGTACCTAATCAATTATCCCGCCTGACTGACCCCATACAAGCCAGCCAACCAGCCAACCAGCCAACCCATTTCAACCTTATTATTATGTAGGTACCTAGGCAGGTATGTAAGTAGTCTCCTATTTTTGCCCATTCTAACCACCTAATCTACTCTAATTTTCAATGGTTGCTGATTTGCCTTTAACAATCATCTGCTTTCCCTTTCGTCAATTGTTAATTGTAAAGACGAAAGGATAATCTTACCATTTGAATTATCTATTTTCCGTTATTACTTGGTTTTAGCCTGTAGTTATTTAATCTTGCCCCTTTTCCTCTGTATTGATAATTCTGCCTTTTTGTTATTCGAAGACCTTCGCCGGTTACACGACTAAGTTCTAATACTTGCAACAAATAACCCCGGGTACGTATCGCTGCTGCGTCTCCTGTTGCCAAGGCCCGCATTACGCCTGTCTCGTCTCTTTTGGGTGCGTACGGTATTGTACAACGTGTACAGGCACAGCTTTGGGCTCCCCTCCCAACTTCCTCAGTTCATCAATTAAAAGTTATTCTAATCGACCAATTCCACCAACCTCCTCCCCTTTCTCCGAAGAACTCGGCCCCCCTTAATCGCGATTAAACCACTAGAGGATCTGTGCTTGTCTATTTCCTCATTCTGAGTCGCGGGCAAAAGTTGTCGTCGGAGCTGTCGACGGCTCTTGCATTAGACAAGTCTGCGACGACGCTGGATTTACAATAAACGGTAACTGAGAGATAATCCGCCGGCTGGATTGCGCTTTCGTCGCGCCGACTACTGATCACTCTGCGATCGTATCATCCCCAACATTTCAACCCATCACGCCACAGGGCTCGTCTTCGCCTCCTCCTGTTATTATTGCATTCGCATAGCCGGTTTCGTTCGTTTGGAGGAATATCGCCAAGATGTCTAAGGTTATGAGAAGTGTTAAAAATGTCACCAAGGGTTACTCGAGTGTCCAGGTCAAAGTGCGCGAAGGTCAGTAGAGTGCAACCATTTACTATCCGTCCATACCGGACTATCTTGCGCCTGGTTGAAGTTGAATGCTGATTTATTTTCCTCAGCGACGAGTAATGACCCATGGGGCCCGACCGGAACCCAGATGAGCGAGATCGCTCATCTCACATTCAATTCGTAGGCTCACCCGCAATTGCACTATACTTGCGGTATACCAGTTTCTCTAACTACTTCTCCAGATCGACCGAGTTCTATGACATCGTTGACATGCTCGACAAGCGCCTAAACGACAAAGGCAAGAATTGGAGGCACGTGTTGAAGGCTCTGAAAGTCTTGGATTATTGTCTTCACGAAGGGTCCGAGCTCATCGTTACCTGGGCGCGGAAGAATATTTACATCATCAAAACCTTGCGCGAGTTTGTCTATATCGACGAAGAGGGCCGGGATGTAGGACAAAATGGTGAGTTATTCTGAGATGTGATTGAAAGTCGTGCCATTAATTATGGGTATCTAGTCCGAGTTGCCGCGAAAGAGTTGACTGCTTTGATTCTGGATGAAGAGCGGCTGCGAGCCGAACGCAGCGATCGGAAGACGTGGAAGTCCCGTGTTACTGGTATCGAAGAATTCGCGCCTGAGGGCGCCACGGTCCCACGAGCAAACCACCGACCTCACCGAAGACATAGCGACGAGGAAGAGGATGCCGAGTACAAGTTAGCAATAGAAGCCAGCAAATACCAAGAAGAAGAGGATCGAAGGAAACGCGAAAGCCGCCAGGGACCTGAGGATGATGACGACTTGGCTAAGGCCATTAAACTTAGCCAGGAAGAAGATGAACGAAGAAGGCGAGAATTGGAAGAAAGCAATGCTAGTTCACTATTCGACGATGCTGGACCGAGCAACGCGCCTCAACCGACTGGTATGAATATGGGATACCAGCAAGGCAGCAATGTTGATTGGCTTGGAAACCCGATCGACCAAAACCAGATGATGCAACCGCAGCCGACCGGATACGTGAACAATTCGTACACTGGGTACCCAGCGAATGGCTACACGAATGGCTTTAACAACGGTTTCAACCCTCAACCGACAGGTGTGTATGACCCATACGGTCAACAGCAGCAGCAGCAACAACAGTTTCAACAGCAGATGCAGCAACAAAACACTCTCCAGCTTCCGGCGCAGCAATTCCAAATGCAGCCTACTGGATACAATCCTTACGGCCAGCAACCCCAGTTCCAGCCTCAGTTCCAACCTCAGCCTACTGCTTCTCCAGAGCCAGTCGTCCAGCCTGGAAGCAACAACCCATGGGCTTCTAACAACAACCAAGCGGCACTCAAGCCGATGCCCACCGGGTCGAATAATCCCTTCGCTAGCGGTTTTGGACGACAGCAGCAGCAATCCCAGGCCCCGGCAATCCCTACTCTAAGCAGCTTGCAGAGTCTTCCTGAGCAGAAGTCGCTCCAGGGATTCACTCCGTCTCCCCAACCCCAACCCCAACCCCAGCCGTCCTTTCAAACACAGCAGCCTCAGAAGCAGCTTAGTGAACATGAACGAAAGCTTAACGCCCTTCTTGCTAGCGGCGACGGTATGGACACATTTGGAAATACTGGTGATCTTCGTATTCCTTCCCAGCATACAGCACCTGGTACCTTTGTCAATTCGGCTGGTGCAGGCGCGAACAGGCTCACGGCCGAGGCTACGGGCAACAATCCATTCCTTCGGCAACAGTTCACCGGCATGCCAACGGTATCTTACGGCGCACCGCAGATGCCTGCGGCTACTGGACCGGCTGGTATGAATGGATACGGCGGGGCGAGCAACCCGTTCGCGGCACGGCCGCAACAGAATAACAACCAGGGGCAAGACCTCATCCAGTTCTAGAATTTCTCTTTGCGAGGGCGTTCGCGATGCAGATCGCGCGCTCTTCATTCGCATGTGGTGATGCATGCATTCTCCTAAGTTGGGTGATACCCATCCTAGTTCACATTTCTCGTATTGCGTTCTCTGCGCCCTCCGGCCGACTAATGGTAGATAGGAGTTGGGTACCGGAGGGTTGCTATTTGCTCTCCAAGGAAAATCATAGGTGGGGGTTAGGTCTACGATACAATTCCCTCTCCTGCCTCGCTGTGCTTTTAGGTAGAAGCTGGGACGGATTTCATTTGATGGCAGCAGTCCCGTAGTGCCAAAACAATCAATAGAAGACATTGAATGGGCCTCTTTTTTAAAAACGGTGTAGCAAGATAATATTGTTATAATTGAACGTGATGTTTTCAAATCCCGACCCTCTTATCCTTATACCCTGACTGGATATATAAACATGCATACATATCCCATGTATACTCGCCATTCCCATCTGCTTTTGCCTGAACGCCCGTCCTTCCAGCTTCCATCCAGAGCAGACAGGCAAAACAGATACTATGTAGTTAAACCCTGTGTGCAACTTAAAACCAATCCATAATAGAGTAGCAGTCCACTTCGTACTCAAGACGGGTGATGGGTATATACAATTCCAACCTAACCCAGTCCAGCCCAGCCCAACCACTCCCTTCTTACCGCCCTTTCGATACAGGTTTTCGGGGCATATTAAAACAGACCCCGGCACGGTAGGTAGCACAAGGTAGGTAGGTAATAGCGTAAAATGTAGAATGGGAGGGAAATATAGCGCAATATTAGAACGTAACGTAATGTAATGCAGTGTGGGTATCCGGGTATCTTGTAAGTTTGCTTCTATCTCCCTCCAGCTTCTTTCTACGTCGCGTCTTCTTCTTCCGTAGCACGCCCCCCTTTGTTCGTCTGTCGAGCGGGCCCGCCCATTCTCCTATCTTCTTGTCTGTTGTTGCATCCCGGCCGGCTGTCTCGGCTACCTCTTGGCTTGCCGCTTGGGTCCTCTTGCTCCGTCCTGCGGTTTCCAGACACGCGCTAGATGGGCGGCGTGTGGTGCTTGGAGAGATAGATACTCGGAGCCAACTCTCGCCTGATGATGCGACTTCTGCTAGATTCCCAGTTCTGGGTATCTTGTCGTCTCTGGGACTAGCGAAGCAGACGGAGGTTTCTTCAGTTGCGCTCTTCTCGTTTCTCGACTACCTGCTTCTTTCTGACTGACTGGCTCCCGTCGTCACCTGTCGAGGAAGATACCTAGAAACTCCTCGCGGCTGACGCCGCCCTTGCCCTCGACGTCGAACTGCTCGATCATGCTGTGCAGCTCGTTGTCAGGCACGTCTTCGCCGAGTTCTTTGACGACACTGCGCAGGTCGTCGACGGTGATAACGCCCTTGCCGCCGCGGTCGAATAGCGCAAACGTCTTGAGCAGCTCCTCGCGCGGGTCGCGTGCTGCTACGTACCGCGCCGCGACTGATTGAAAGCCCTCGCGCGATAGCCGCAAGTCGACTACGCCTGGCGTGGTTTGCGGCGGCGGCTGGTTCGGGAGGGATGGCAGAGGTGTCCAGCCTGGACGCGGTCGTGCGGCCGACTTAAATGACGCGATGAGATCGGGCCGCGAGAGGTTGGAGAAGCCGAGGGCTTGTAGCGCGTACCGGAATTCGCTGAAGTCGAGCTGTTCGTCTTTGTTCATGTCGAAGAGGTGGAACTGCGCGTTTGTAACCGCTACTAGTTAGCTTGATGGTCTCTTCTATATAGTGTTTGCCTTGCTTCTTGGTTGAGGCTTCGCATAGTTGTTATACGTAACGAGATATGGTCGCGTATGGGCTTGGAAAAGGGGGCACTCACGCAATCGTTGATCTCGTTCCGATGTTCGTCGCTTATCTGATCCCAAGGCTCTGCGTGCTCTGGATTCCGAATGGGGGCTGCAAATCGCGTGCCTGGTCTCGTTGACCCTGGCCGCACTGACGCATTGTATTCGTTCATGGCGCTGCTCGCGTAGTTGTTCATGCTCTCTTGTACGTGATGCTCTGAGCGCGTAGCCCTAGGAGCTATACTCTTTTACGCGCGAAGGTTGCGAGTCGTACTTTAAGAGTGGAAGTCGTTGTCGCTGGGTAGGTTGGTCGCGTTATAGGGCTGGCAATTAGGATTAAAGTAGAGATGGCACTTCAACGGATTGGTGTATCTTGCGTGATCCCGGTTCGAGAGAGTGAGAGAGAGAGGTAGCGAGTGACGGGGAAGCGGTAAGCATGCAGGCTATTGATTATACGATTGCATGCGATTAGAGCCTGCAACGGCAAGAAATACGATATCTAAACGAGCTAATAGACTCTCGGTATGCTGACCGATACGGAATCGGAATTTCGGGCTGCAGAGACTAGGTATAGCAGAACGGGTTGAATTCTAGCGGTCGCGAAACTGCAATTCGAAGTTGTAGGTGGTCCCGGTTGACGCGAGCCGGGATGCGCAACGCACGGTTGGAAAAATGGGGAGGAAGAAAAAAAAAAAAAAAAAAGGTAAGTAGTGCAGAGCCAATGAATGGATTATACTGAGTGTATTAATTAGGTCGGAAAATTAAAACTTCACTTCCTATTCTTTTTTTGTGTGGTTGCATACTGCAGCTCAACTCGCGATGTTTTTTTTTTTTCTCTTCTTTCTTTTTCCGGTGTAAGTCAGGGGGTTGGGCGCGACGCACGATGGAAATGGGGTACACGTAGACGCGCCTGATAGGTACCTGCAAGCTTAACAGGTACACGCACTATTTTACCTGGTCGTACTTACGGAGCTAGCCTTGTCCCACCCGAGAGAGTCGGGGCTAGGTAGCGGTTATAGTACCTACTGTAATGAGGCCGCCACGCGTTGCTCTTACTCATATGTAGCACCATGAGTTGAAGTAGCTTATGGAAGCTTCACCACGATCCATTGAATATATCATAGATGGAAAAATAGCAGTCCAAATTTATACTAAACTGGTTGTTGTCTTATGTCGAAATATACATATCACTAACCTAAGCACTTCATATAATTCACCCAAGTGGGAGATGAGTGGTGAGTGGTGAGAGGTGAGGAGTAGTTTGTCGATTTCATTATATCCATGTTCAACTCAACTTGAGTGGTCATGATGATTTCTCAATTGTGCTTTCTGGTTGGGGCGCGTAGAAAAAGCGACTTATGAACACAGTATGTGAAAACCTCACAGAGGAAATGAAAATGAACCGTGGAAGAGGTAATAGCCACAATATGTAACCAAAGCTTGCTTTATTAAGTTAGGCTTCATACCTATAAGCTGTGGTCCAAGCTCCCTTTTCTCAGGGTACCTATGTATCATCAGCCTCACCAACTATTACATAATCGCCACATGCCTCTAAGTAGTTACAAACCATTGAATATGTTCTTGGGAATTCATCCATTCGACATTTGCATGCCTCACATTATATTGTATAAAATGCAAAGATCGTAGAATAATTGCTATATTGTATTGTATGGCTTTAGGTAGCTCGAGTAGGCAGACAAGAGCAGGCAGTGATATGTAAATTTTACGTGCGCGTGACCAGTGACTGGTTTCTACTTTGTACATCCAATGTTGCAGAATAAAAGCACATCCTCCCCATCGAATAGAAATCTTCTAAGTGTGCTCGGTGCTCTAGACGAGATACAATAAAATTCATCTAAAATAAGTATCAATACTATATATATATGAGGAAGAAGGTACGACGATAATATGTACCTAGCTAGATATTTACACTACATGCAAACGGCCTTAGGCAGGTACAGGTCTCGCGCAGCAAACTTGTGGACCCACTATTTACCTAGTTTAAACTCTGTACATAGTGAGGAGCCAGAGGTGGTCCGGCCTCCTCCTTATCCTGGGCAACCCAACCGTGGCAATTCTCTTTACCTTACTACTTTCCCCCAAGGCTAAAACCGTCACATCTACGCATCTTCTACAAATCACGGATTTGTGTCTTTCCTTAGTCAAGGTATCGTACCTGGCGCATATAGCCATTAACTTCTTATTCTACAACGGTCTTTGCCATATTTCCCCTTACGTCTATATTCTTCACTTTTCTACGAGGAAGGAATTGAGGCATCTTCATACATCCGGTCCTCTCGAGGCCCCAGCAGCGCGGATCGCAGAAAAAAAAAAAGGTCGAACCCCAGTTCGCGATACTTTTTACCTTGCGCATCATCGCCTAATTACTCCCACGACACTCCTCTGCATCAGAATCAACCGACCGCCATCTCGGCTATTGACCGTTTACCTTCCATGTCTTCTTCTATTTAGTGTTGTCTCTCCTCCCAAATTCGATTCCACGCGTCAGACGCGCTCTTTCACCATCTCGCAGGCCGCGTGCCTCGAGCTGATTTAATCCTACTCTAATATATCGAACTGTCACCATGTCAGGCTTCGGTGGATTCGGCACCGGTGCTGGTGGTAGCGGCTTCGGTAGCAACTCCAACAATACCTCCACTGGATTCGGTGGATTCGGTGGCAATAACGCGACCAATACAACAGGTAGGCTTCTTGATATTCTTCTATCCCTTCGATCCCTTCTATTCTTCCCCCAACACCCAACTAACTCGGCGTGGTTTCTCAAGGCTTTGGCGCAAATACTACCACCAGTGGCTTTGGTGCTCCCGGCAATACAGGGGGTGGCCTATTCGGTTCTGGGAGCACACCGTCCAGCTTCGGTACCAACACTGGTAAGTGGCATATTGCCACGAAGATCATTCGGCTCTATTTTTTTATCCAGTCTGCTTTGAATACTATTTTTAATTAGGATACTAATGTATTTCTCTACAGGTGGATTCGGATCGACGAGTAATGCCGGCGGCGCGTTTGGTTCTAAGCCTGCCTTCGGTAACACATCTACGAGTGGCGGCTTGTTCGGTGCCTCTACCACATCGACCTCGGGTGGTTTCGGTGGCGCCTTCGGAACTACAAACAACGCTTCGACGTCAAGCCCTTTTGGTGGCGGTAGTGGTGCCGGTACTGGTTCGTCCATTTTTGGAAGCAACAATAATAAACCGGCCTTTGGAACCTCGAACACTGGCACGACGGGCACTGGGATTTTTGGGGGTGGAACTACGACTAATAATACCGGTACCTCGACCGGCTTTGGCGCGTTTGGCAACACATCGAACGCTCCCACTAGTACAGCACTAGGTCCGGTGGGAGACCCCCCTGGTACTGCTAACATTACGAATTTTCAGCCACTGGTAGAAAAGGAGAGCGCTACCTCATCTGCTCAGAACTCCTTTCAGAATATCCTATTCCAGGATCCGTACAAAAAATGGTCTGCAGACGAGCTAAGACTTGCTGACTACGCAGCCGGGCGTCGCTATGGCGGCGCTTCGGGCACTGGGACCTTCGGTGTCGGTTCCGGCTTTGGTGGATTCGGCACGAGTAACCAGCCAGCAAGTTCATTTGGCACCTCGAACTCGACTGCGAATACCGGCGGCGGTTTATTCGGTAATACCCAGTCATCTGGTGGGTTTGGAGCACAGAATACCTCTGGCGCGACTGGTTTTGGTTCCAACACTGGTGCTGGCGGTGGCCTATTTGGCGCCAACAAGCCAGCAGCGACAGGCGGCTTATTTGGCAATTCTGCGACGCCCCAGCCGGCACAATCCGGTGGTGTGTTTGGCACTGGGAACACTGGGTTCAACACTGCTAATACTGGCACTGGTTTCGGATCTACGAATACCAACACTGGAAGCTCATTGTTCTCGAACGCCAATAATCAGCAGAAGCCTGGTTTCAGTTTTAGCAATACAGGTAACAATGCTACAGGTGGCTTCGGCAGCAACACCGGTGGTTTTGGTACTAACACTAATACTACTGCAGGTGGTGGTCTCTTTGGTAACACCAATAATACCAACCAGACTGCTGGAACCGGCCTTTTCGGCAATACGGGTCAGCAGCAGAATACTGGTAGTGTATTTGGTGGCGGCGGCGGCGGTGGTTTTGGGGCTCAGAATCAACAACAACCCGGATCGTCCCTATTTGGCAACACGCAACAGAAGCCGGCAGGGACAGGCCTGTTTGGAAGCACCACCACCACTCCTGGAACCGGTGGCGGTCTATTTGGTGCATCAGCTAATACCGGCGGTGGCTTTGGGGCAACCAACAATCAGTCTGGCGGGCTTTTTAACAACAAGCCTGCTACTGGCACCGGTACCTCTGGGTTATTTGGGAACGCTGGTGCAACTCAGAACACCAATACTGGAGGTGGCTTATTTGGGGGCTTGGGTCAGAATAATCAGAACCAGCAGCAACCACAACAAACCTCCGGCCTCTTCGGCTCAAGTCTTGGCCAAACCCAGCAGAAGCCGGGTCTATTCGGAAGTACTACACAGACGGCCGGCAGTAGCCTTTTCGGTAACCAACCCAATCAGCAACAAGGTTCATCCATATTCGGGACGTCGACCGCGCAGCAACAACCGCAGAATAACGGGCTGGGAGGCTCCTTGTTTGGCAGTTTGCAGGGTAACCAGTCTATACCATCTCTGACTGCAAGCATCAATGATCCAACTGCGTACGGGTCTCTATTTGCTAACCTAGGCAACAACGAGGTATCTGACCCCGGCCCACTTGCAACACCGACGAAAAACAAGCAAGCTAGGCGGCCCTCCATTCTCCCCTATTATAAGCTAAATCCAGCCTCTACGTCTCGATTTGCCACGCCGCAAAAGCGTGGGTATGGCTTCTCTTACAGCACCTACGGAACACCAAACAGCCCCTCAAGCATATCTAGCACCCCAGGAGCGTTGACGCAAAGTCTATTAGGCGGTGGTAGCTTGTCACGCAGTGTGGGCAGTTCCCTCGGTAAGAGTGTCTCGTCGAGCAGTCTTCGACGGAACTTCAATATTGAGGATAGCCTGCTGGCCCCTGGTGCGTTCTCTGCTAGCTCCGGATCGAGGATGTATGGCGGTGGCAGCGTCAAAAAACTTGTTATCAATAAGGATTTACGCAGCGATTTATTTTCAACTCCTACAAAAGACAAGAGCTTGCCCGAGACCCCCAACAGTTCTCGAAAGCTAACTAAACGAGTCAGCTTTGATACCAGCAATGTTGAGGCCATTGAAGATGGCGAAGCTACACATGAGTCAAATAACGCTACTCCGAGCGCAGAACAGTTAGGCTATGTCCGACCGAAAAACGTCAATGGAGTCAATGGAGTCAATGGCTCTAAGTCAAGTTCTGCCCCTGAAATGGAACAGGTGAAAGGTAATGAGCTAGCGGTAGTACATGAAGAGGAAGCCGTCTCACCCGAAGGCCGTAGTCCAGCGACAGCTCCCTCTGATGGAGAACCCGGTAATTATTGGATGAAACCAACCAAGGAGGAAATTCAACTCATGAATAGGGTCCAACGCCAAAAGGTCCCCAACTTCACTGTTGGACGTGAGAACGTTGGCTATGTCAAGTTTAGGGTGCCTGTTGACCTTACTTCAGTCGATATCGACAATATATTCGACAGCATCGTCATCCTCGAGACCCGGTCCGCAACCGTGTACCCCAATGCTGCCAAAAAGCCACCTGTTGGCAAGGGTTTGAACGTTCCCGCGCTAATCAATCTCGAGCATTCGTGGCCTCGTTCCTCTCGGAAAGGAAAGCCTATTTCACTGACAAGGCATATCGAACGCTTAAAGAGAATCCCGGACACTAAGCTTGAGAACTACAATACGGAAACAGGCGAATGGACTTTTTCAGTGGAACACTTCACTACGTACGAGCTAGATGAGTCCGATGAGGACGAAGAGAGCGAAGTTAAGCCGCCTGCTGACCCATCGCCTTTTCCATTAAAAAGGGCCCAATCGCCATCGCCGGCTCCTGGTTCTGATGACGCTGCGTCCGATGTAAGTGACGTTCTGAGGGATAAGCGAAGCCATCCTGCACCACCAGGTGCTTTTGATCCTGACCATGATTCTTACGTCGAAGATGACGCAGAAATGGCGGCAGTTGCTGGACCCCAACCGTCTTTTTTAGGTAATCGCTCCGTGGGTTCTACGTCCAATGCTCTTGTTCCTATGGATCAAGACGATATGGACGATGAATATGCGACGTCCGAGGCACACGAAGATGCGAGTGCTTCCCTCGGACAGCATCTTGCCGCGGAGCGTGACGACAACTCGTTCGACGGGTCGCAGTTCGACACTGTTCCAGAGACCCCTGCCGGTATCATGAGAGCCCGAATGCGGGCAATAAAAGGCTCGGCGACACCGATGAAAGTCCAGGTCTCATCCGGAGATGACTGGATGGACATGCTCAGCAAGACAATTAGTCCGAAGAAGCGGGATAGGGCGCTCTTGAAAACGATCAACGAAACCGATCACTATCGTGCGTTAGACGAGGCCCCTCGCGAGGTATCTCCTACAAAGAAACGTATCGTACCGGATAGTCGGGGGTTTGCAACGAGTATCGATTTGATGAACTCGTTGTTTGAAAAGGCCAAAACTCCCGCCGAGAACCTACAAGCGTCTGTGCGCCCAAACGGTGTCAAAGTCAGTACCATATTTTGCCGCCGTCCCTTTTATCGCACTCGAGTATAATGGATGGATATTATTATACGAGTTACTAAAAGCTAGTTCGGAATGATGTTTGCTAATTTTAAATTATAGTGGCCATACAAACGACTCACTAAACATCTCGACGAAAGTAACATGGACGAAAAAGACCGGATTTGGCACGACACTATACGACCTACCTGGGGCCCAAATGGCACGCTTGTATTTTCTGCAACCCCAAGTAGCTCGGCATTTGGAAGATCAAGTCGTATATCTGAAAAGAATGGACTTATGACTGTATTAAAAGGCGGTATCGTATCGGAATCACAGGATATCCGAATTGCCAAATTCACGAATGAGGTATGTTGAAAAACTTCGGTACTTTACGTGATTGCTAATATAACTCATCCAGATGTCAGCCAGAGCCATTGATGCACACACCAAATTAGCACAAGTGCAACTCATCGACGGCGTACCAACTGTTAGATTGAACCCGAAGACAGTACTGAAGGACTTCTCTGTCGGGGGTAATACCAAGAATGCAGCCGAGGAGCACGAGAAGCTCGTCTGGGAACTTGCTAGTGTACTTTTCGATAGCATTAAGGTTCCCAGCGACCTTCAAACCGACCCTGATGCGCCAGAGAAGCTTCGCCGGGAGAACTTATCACGCTTTTGGGAGCGTATGGTAGAAGATCAGACGAGCAAGATGGCCGCAATGGCTGGATCAAGTGAAGAAAAGGCATTGGCTTCTTTGTCTGGTCACCGAATCGCAGAGGCTTGCAAACATCTGCTTGATGGCAAAAATTTCCGCCTAGCTACTTTGATTTCTCTCATTGGTGCTAACGATGTTAAGAAAGATATAAAAGAACAGATGAAGGAGTGGCAAGACGCAAATGTGTTATCCGAATTCTCGCAACCGATTCGCGCGCTTTACGAAATGCTTAGTGGCAACGTTTGTGCTTGTGAAGGGACTAAAGGGGCATTGGAAAATCGTACAGAGTCGTTCCTAATTTCGAAGAGATTTGGTCTCAATTGGCAGCAAGCCTTTGGACTAAGGCTTTGGTACGCGACTTCAGCGGAAGATAGCATTGCGGATGCGGTGGAAAAATATAAGGAAGATGTGGAACAAGACAGGGAATTGCCACCTACCACATGGTTCATCGAGCATGGCATCAAGGGCATCTGGAATGATCCAGATGAGGATTTACGAGAGGATCTCCTTTGGGGATTATTACGATTATACTCGGACACCCAAGTAGATTTGGAAGCGATACTACGACCGGAAAATTCTCAATTATCCCCTCTTGACTTCCGACTATGTTGGCAGTTAGGCCAAGCGTTAACCTCTACTGGACGTGTCTCATTCGGGAAGAATGCCATTGAAAAGTCTGATTCTGTCACTATTTCTTTTGCATCACAGTTGACGAACGAGGGTAGCTGGCTTGAAGCAACTTTCGTTCTACTACATCTTACAGATCCCGAGGCTCGATGCAAAGCGATTCAGGACCACTTATGTAGGCACGCCGGGCTAATCGGAAACGAAGACTCGAACAATTTCAAAAAACTCGCAACAGACTTCAAGGTTCCAAGACAGTGGATTTGGCACTCGAAGGCACTGTTCGCGCGGAGCGTCAAGAAAGACGCGAGCGTCGAAGTACAATGCCTTCTCCGTGCAGAGTCGTGGGCCGAAGCTCATCGCACTTTTATTAAGGAGGTCGCTCCGGCCACTATTATCGAGCGTGACTATGACACCCTAGCCGACCTACTACAACAGTTCGAAGGTCACCATTCACAGGTACCCGACTGGAACGTCGGTGGCGAAATCTACAAAGCGTTCCTTCAATTGATGGGTTGTCAACGACGGGCCGAGAATCCGTCCCCTGTTTTGGTCAATGCTCTACTCGAAGGACTGCCGGCCATGCATGGAAATACCCCCGAAGCCGGTATTACAGAATACGCAGCTTTGACAGACATGGCGGCTGAAGTGGCAAAGGTGGTCGCAGGTATGGCGAGGGCAGGAGAGGTAAGTCATTTCTCTAAACCCAACCTTTTTGAATACATTATTAACGTTATAAATTAGATGGAACATGAGCGCATTTTACAACTGCCTCTGACGGAGGATGTCTTGTTGAAGCATTCCAGGGATCTCGCCTGGTCACATTACTCAACAGTGATGGCAGGCTAGTAAGAACACTTCAAGCCGCGATAGTATAGGAAGGAATGAAACAGATAACATGAATACCTATATCTGTGTTAAGGATAACAGTACCTTATAGTAGATAGATAGTTCTTCGATAGGACTAGCAATGTGCAATGCTTAGTTTATAAGCATAGGTTGGGGGAAGGCCAATTAAACCGGCCCGTAATCGAGAATCATGACGTTCGGAATTTCTAGTGTCATGGAGACGACAGCGGAAGATCATTGTATTCATGTAGCATAGTTAATAAAGTAGCTAGCATAAAACTTGCTAATTCCCAAGTCCAACCCCCATTCCGTGATGTATGTTGTTATCTCATGATGTAGATCTGAGGTTAGGAGATATCATTCTACTGTATTTGGTGGTTAGGTTCAAATTTCTACATATCAGCTTAGGAACATTTCAAGTCTCGTTAGTTATATTAAGAGTCAATAACAGGTAATTTATATACATGTTTTATATACAATTTCGAGCTTCAAGTTGTGTAATCTACTTATACGGTGTATGATATAACCGCTCAATCTTCATCTGCCAAATTCAGAGCTATCCTGAGTGCTTAACATAACATGGTAGTAGTATATGGGATGCGAGTTAAACTGAATGTGCCCTATTCTGTCACAACTCTCTCGTATCGCAGATACAGCGAATTACTCTTCGGGTGTCCCGTATATGCGTCAGTCGGTTCTATACCGGTGTCGTCCACGACATGGCTAGTGTAGTTTGTGTAGATGGCTGCGATCAGGAGCTTCATGTCTATACGGAGTTGGCAGGTCTTCACGTTAGCCAGCTAGCCGTTGAAAATGGATAAAGGTATGGAATAGAGGGAATCTAGAATGCTAGGATTTTTAGCGAGGAGAAGAAGGGGGGGGTTACAGACCGTGCATGGCAAAGTTCGATCCCAGACACATCCTCCCGCCGCTCGAGAAACCCCAGAAATGCCGGTTTACTACGTCCGTCTTTCCGTCGTCGTCGTCTTCTCCGGGATCTGTTGCTCGGCGCAGCCACCGCGTGTGGTCCCACGTTTCCGGATCGGGAAATGCAGCTTCGTCGCGGTGCAGGTTGTACACCGAAGCGGAGACGCGGATACCGCCGGGGACCTCGTACGGTCCGATGCGGCAGGACGGCGGAGGCGTGACGCGGGGCTCTGGACCGCCGGCGGGCGAGTACCGTCGGATCGTTTCCATGACTACGGCGTGCAGAAGGGGTAGGTTGTCGAGCTGTTTCGAGTCTGGGAGCGGTGCCTTGCCGTCGTGGCGGCTGATTTGGGGGCTGGGGTTCAGGGTGAGTAGTTCGGAGCGTAGGTCGCGCTGGAGGTCGAGGGATTTGGACAGGCGGTAGGAGAGGTATGTCAGTGCGACGCCGGTGGTTTCTTGTCCGGCTAGGACGTGGTCTAGGATCTCGGAGGCGACTGAGAGGTCGCGCTGTTGGACTTTGATGGTGTATTAGTAGGTATTTATAGTTGAAGCCCGAAGTCGTTGCTCTGCAAATGGGTAAAGGGTAGAGATGGGAGAGTTATCCACGTTACATACTAGCAGTCGTGTACAGCGGTGATGCCGTGCCGTTCGTCTCATACTCCTTCTCGATACCAGCAAGTAGAGCGCGCACAACGACCGGATCGTCAGCCGTGTCAACAACAGACTCTTCGCCCACTCCTTCATTCTCTAAGAAGCGTACCGTAGCATCGCTCAACTCCTTACACCACGCCTCAAGCTCCCTATTCGCAGCATGAGCCCAAGCGGGTGTAGGATCGAGACCGACGGCGCCTAGAACCCTCGAAATCCGCGGGAGCTCCTGAGCGAAGAAGCCGTAGCCCTTGCGGACGGCGTACAGCGAGAGCCAGTGGTCACGATAGGATTTGCGGCGGATAAAATCAGCACTCCGCCGCGCGCCGAAGCAGTACGCCGAGATGAAGTCCATGGCAGCTGCGCAGAATAACGAGTGCACGTCAATACCATGCGGTTGTTGAGAAGCCGAAACAGATTCCTGGATAAGCGGCAGCAGCCGGGAGTTGATGATAATGTCGGCCTGCGCGGCGAGGGCCGGCGAGGCGTTGATGTACGACTTGGAATACACGTGGGACACCATTCTCTTGCGCAGGGAGTGGTGTTTTGCGTGCGCTGAGGAGAAGGTGCATGGGACGCTGTATATACGATTTAGCGTTACTTATTAGCTGTGGGAAAGAGAGAAAATAGGGGGATATGGTAAGATGAATAGATACCCGTAGTTGTCAAAGAGCGAGTACCACTCGTGCTTATCGAAACCTCCCTGGTAGATGGTCTTGACGGCGTCGACGCTATTGACGCTCAGCTCTTTGGGGCCGACGCGCACGACGGGGCCATGTTCCCGGTGGGCGGCGTGCAGAGTCCGGTTCTCACGGCTGTTGAACCGAGCCCATAGGATCCAGGCCGGCGAGACGGAGCAAGACCAGTGAGGGGTCGGGATTTTGGAGAGAGGTGAGAAGATGGTGGGATATAGTATATATTTGTAGATTAGAATAGCTGTGATGGTGAGCGTAGCTGGTATATAGAGGTCGGAAAAGTCAAGTATAGCCATGATAATAGGGGCGGTATCATAGACGGGTGTGCTTCAGGGGAGCGAAGTCTTTTATGTTAGGTAATTATTTAATTATTTACAAAAGATCTAAAATAAAAGATGTAGTTAGTAGGTATATTCAAGAAATTAATATATGTATCATTATAAAACCTATCTCTAAGCTATGTGTGAATCTCCCGAGTTTCTATTATGAGGAGCAATGCTATCGATCAAAAGTCGGCCCCCGCTTGTCGCATCGGCAGTGTTGAATACAATATTTTAATTTAACCGGGTTTTGAGTATCTAGGTACCTTGATAACATTGCGCTTAGCGAAAATCCTATAGATCGTATATAAGTCACCATGTTGAATCAAGTCCTAGATTATCCAGGTCTTGATTGGAAGGTAAAAATGATAGCCTGGTTAAAGCAATGACGCTGCAGGGGTAAATGATGATGACAAGTATTGAATGAATGAATGATTGGCTGCTATAAAACGGAGGTTGGCTTTTACTTCTGAGTCAATGGCTTTTGACTCATTCACTTATTCGCACTAATCTTCCTTTAAATAATTCTCTAATTTGCCTGTAGTTATATAAAATATTCTAAAAACATCCACTCTATTCGATGCGACATAGTCTCTCATTAATCTACATTGCAATTATGTATTTCTTCATATGAGCAAGAGTTGCCACGAGCCTACGTCATATAGGTATAACTTATACCGTATAAGAGGTAGACTTCATCAGATACACTATCACAGCTTTTATCGATAACATCAACATAAATAAGCAAATACATATAAACATATATTGTTCAATTCAACTTACACCCGACTTCAGCTTTTATAAACCACAACTATACGGATTACAAACTTCAATTATTCATGGAGTTCCTTAAAATCTCCGACGAGGCCCCAAGCCTCACAACCCTGCCCGCCGATATTTTCTACATTGTCCTCACCTACTTGGACACGGCAACAAGTATTGCTAATTTATCGGCATCTTGTAAAGGCTTGCATCATCTTGTTACTGAGAGAGGCTGGCGTATATTTGTCACGTCACGCTTCAACACATTCAAGCTGTCTGAAATTTCGTCCGTGGATGAATGGCGGGAACGTGCCTATTCACTAACTTCGCAGTCCAGAGATTGGGATAGGCGTGCCTTAGCTGTTAGTGCTCTCAAACCCGTCGTGAAGCATCGCGGACGCGCCTTCAACCGCTTCGGTCCCTCTCAGTCCATCCCTAGCAATATCATAGTTGATGCCCATCACCAACGAAAAGGCGATGACGCTCAAGACCTTGTATTCTGGGGTGCCGGCGAGGACATCTTTGGTTTGCTGCGACATACCCGGGGGTCCAAAGCTTCCAATGATGAGTGGTTCAGTAGCAGGGGCGCTACAACTGGGTACCGTTCAGGCAAGGACGACGTCACTTGCGTATCCATCCTAAAGGATAACAGATACAATTACGGCCAAGAAGGCGAACCCCAAGTGTTGGTAGGCAGGGCCAGTGGTCACCTTCACCTGTTGTCAATGGGTGCTTCAAATTTCGGGGACACGCTTTTGAATTTCCAGGCTTCCTGTAAACCATCTTCTGAACTCGAACTCGATGCTGAAGCTATGCGTCAGGCGGACATCCAGTCCCTGGATGTCAACTATAAGCAAGGCACACTCGCAGCAGCGACCAAGCAGAGTATCCTGACATACCCTCTTAACCATGATAAACGACCTGTTCAGAACGAAAATGGCGAGGGTGGCTTAGAAACAGGTGCCACGCCATCCGTCTGGGCAGACGACGCTCTGGTATTAAAAGACGATTCGCAGTCAGGAGCTTTCGAGTTTATCCGGTCCATTAAATTCGTGAATGGAGACACTCTAGCGGTAGGCCTGAGTAAAGGTTATAAGCCACTTCAGTATTTGAAATACACACCGACGGGGGTTGATGTATCTTTCGCTGCGAAGGCAAGCATTAATCATGATACTGCCAATGACTATACGCTCAGAACAGTTAGGGCAATCTTACCCGTAGATACAAGCTCACTCGGAAACGGCAGCGGCAGCGGAAATGCCGTGCTCAGTTCGTGGGATGATGGCACGATCCGTCTCCAAGACCTCCGCACACCGTCTCCGGTCGACCAAATATTCCAAGACAACTTCGATCTCCACACCCCGATCAACGCTCTGCTCTCGCGGGGTCTCGAGCGCTTCGTCGCAGGTAGTGCTTATTCCCCTGTGCTGAAGGTATTCGACTACCGTTGGCCTAAGGGCTACTATTACACCGAGGCTCTCCCCTGTGGGAACGACGAGCCGTATCCGGCACCTCGACCCCCAACCATTGTAGCAGAGCCGTCTTTCTCAGATAATCGCATCGCGTGCGACTACATGACCGGTAAACGGTGTCGCTGGCATGAGCTCTCAAAACACGATTTCTACAGGCCCAACTTCAACACGTGGCTCCCAGCCCCCGCTAGCGATACCTCTCCCATCTACACGCTTGCATCGCCCTCGGATGACTCGCCGACGCTGTTCGCAGGGCTCTCGGGAATGCTAGTTGAGATCACGCCCAAGAGCAGCAACACACGGCCCGCAACACGGCCTAGCTTCGGGCCCGCGAAGGACCTCGCGTACGTCCGACAAGCTGAGAGCGTGGCTTTCATCGAGACCGGCTCTGGGTTCGCAGTGGATGATATCTCGCAGTCGTCGCGCGTGCCCCCAATGTATCGCCAATTCTTTAGGGACTCGACCGAGCGTGATCGTGGACACCCGGAACGCGCCATCTGGCGGAAACGGCATCGTTTAGATGAATGGTTGCAGCGCTGGACCTGAGGCGCTGGTAAAGGAATAAAATTAGATTATAGGAAGTTTCTTATCCCCCGCTTGGGAATAACGGTAATAATATACCTACATAGAAACTAATCCCATAGATGTATAAGTCAGTTATATACACATTCTCGTTTTCTTACACTGATATCAGATCCTTCCCAATGTAGCCTTGTTCTCAGTACAAGTATTTCTCGCATAACCCGTATGTACTCATCGCTATCATCATCTTATAAACAACATATAAGAAACGCCCTTCCTTAGCATAAAGGGTAAAACTGCATTGGCTATTACATAGCAAACTCGACATCCAGCCAGTCTCGCGCAAATTCATCTTCGCGCTTCGATATTACGACCTCGACGGTGCGCACCGGCTCCAGGATATGTACAGGCAAGACGCCGTCGTTCTTCGGTGGTACCTCGATCTTCCCGCCGCGAGCAGGCTTCATATCGAACTGCAGCACTACCAACGCAACGAAAGCCAGGATCTCATTCATAGCAAAGTGGCGGCCGGGACACAACGTCTTGCCCCCGCCGAAGGCGCGGAACGCCGCCGGATGAAACGCGTTGTTCTGCTTTTGTCGGGGCTTGGAACTGACGCTGGGGTTCAGGGTTTCGGCGTCGGAGTTGCTGTTGGTCTTGTCGAGGAACCGCTTGGGATTGAAGTCCAAGACATCCGCGCCCCAGATCCGCTGGTCCGCGTGGATCACACCACCCGCGATCTGGACGACTGCATTCTTCTTGAGGAAGTACTGGTTTGCGAGGAGGTGGTCCTCTTTTACTACGCGCGTTGAATATGTGTTCGATCCTAGGCGCAGACACTCGCGGTACACGGCTACGAGGACCGGGCACTTGTCCCGGAGATCGGTGATGCGTAGGTTGTAGCTTGGCGGCTTGTCGGTGCGCGCCGAGAGGACGGACTCGATTTCCTGGCGCACGGTGGCGAGGAGCGCCGGGTCCGCGTATAGGTGCAGCAGGATCCAGAACGTCGAGGTGGTCGCGTTGACGATGCCGGCGAATAGGAACGAGAGCTCCTCGCGCGCGATGGCGGGCATCGCCCAGCCGTGCTCGAGCGCAATGTCTACGCGCTTCTGGACGATCTTGGACCCGGACGATTTGTGCCGCCCCGCCTCGAGATACGCGAGCAACGCTGCGGATAGCTTCTCCCGGCCCGCGTAGGCCCGGCGCGCGGTGACGGACGGGACGACGTTCATGAGCAGCGAGCCTAGCCCGTGGTCGAAGTCCCAGAAGGAGCCCTCCAGCGCGGGGTTCAGCGCAATGGGGTTCTCCGGTCCGTAGAGGTATCGCGCCGTTGATAAGGTGACGAGGTGGCGTACCCAGGAGAGCAGATCCGTGGCGCCGCGGCTTAAGGAGGAGGGAGACGACGACGCATACGCCGCGATCTCGTTTTTCATCTCCGCGGCAGCGGCTAGGCTTAACTCGCTCAGGTAGTCGCCGGGGCCAAGCCAGGCAGAAACCATGTCCTGGATGTCGGGCAGGAAGCCGCGCTCGTCGCCGGGCCCGGGGTCGAGGTTCTTGCGGGTGATCTCGACGGCGGCGGCGTCTAGGCCGAGGACGCGCCGGGTGACCTCGGGCACGACGGGGTTGAACGACAGCGCCCTAGAGGCGCGCTGGACGGCGGCCGCCAGGGAGGGGTCCGTGACGACGTAGATGCGCGATCCGGGCCCGGGTACGGGTAGGGTGAAGACGGGAAGATGCCGGTTGCGGATGCCGAGGTTCTTGATGTACCGCCCGCCCAGCAGCGCCATGCCTAGTAGGTGTCCGATCGAGGGGATGGTCGGCGCGATGACGGGGGGCTCGCGCGGATCGACCTTCCGCGATGATAGTTGGTGTGCGATGAAGTAGACGGTGATGGCGGCGACGATGGCCGTGGTGCCGGCTGGAAAGGGCCACCATTCTGGGGCGATTTCACTGAATATCATTGTTTCCTTCTTTCTTTGCTAGTTAATCCGCTTCAAACTTAGATATGTATATACAACTCTAGCGAGCTTCGTTTGGCTCTATAACCTCATGACGATAGCTCCTTGTTAATCGTCATCTGTAAGCTCGGTGTTAGCCAAAGCTATCCAGGATATTTCTAGTTATGTGAAAAGCCTGGAACATAAATAGCTAGGTAGTTAGTTAACGTAGAGCTTTTAAACGACGCAACGGCCTCTCTTAACTAACACATTACTAAAGTCTACAAAAAGCTACTTTCTTCGAATTGTGTCTGTCCTAAGACTATCTCTTGCCCCAAATCGGATTTCCCATGTAGCGTAGCGCAACCAAAGGAGATAGGTACGACTTACAGACACGAGGTTTTATTAGTTGGTCCGAGATGATATATGTAAACACGTCCAGCCGAGCCCTTCTTGCCACTCCTAAGAACTCCGGCTTCGAGAACCCATGAGGCGAAGAATGAAATTTCATATGTAATTACAGATATCGAATTTGATCTCTTTCCATCATAACGTGACATCGACAAGGGTCCCCCGCAATTGGATTGGTGAAGCTCAAGGAACCGAACCGGTCCCCTGAAAGATGCCTCGTTGGCGCATATATACTTGTAATTGAATAAATATGTACATGGGTACAATTTGACCCCTGAATTGATGTTGATATTTGTCTATGTGATTGATGAACATGAGGAGCGGAATATCATGCCTTGTCAGATAATATAATACTATGCAAAGTTCAGCCCTAGAAGAGACATGATACGTTTTATGTTGCTACTTAAATGGAAATATACCTAGCTCAGAGGGAATTTGGAGTTGCCTCGGTAGAAGAATACTTTGCAAGATCCATGGCTTTTATCGTATCCCTTCCTTTGATTGACTATAGAAGTAAGGGTTAAAACAGGAATACACTTGGCTTCTTTGAGAGATATTTATAATAACCACATTGGAATAATTAAATGGTTACGTATAAGTTCATAGTTATATAAACTCGATAACCAGCCGATACTAAAGTTTTTACAGTAATAACTAACGTTACTTTCCCGGAAGATAAATGGAAAATTCGCACTGCTATTAAGATGTTACAGTTTTAAAGGGACTTGAGTTGAGGATGCCTAATATTTGGCAACGTAGATACATACTAGCCTTGATAAATGTCAAAGACCAAGTAAACACATCCTGTAAAATTCTCATGGTCGAGTCTCCGGCCTACTGGGTTAGCGAATCCACATAAGTAGTAGGTTTTAGGTTGTCAATAAGTTTAAGGAATGACTGTAATAGAAACTATTTTTCTTTAACCAGATCTTTCATCAAACATAGCGAGTGTGTATATATCAATAGTAAATACAGAATATGGCAACTTAATTTCAAAACTATACACTATCTCAATCGGGGTTCTTCTTGCATGCTTTGCCATGTTCCATTTTCTGGTATCTACAGCTCAAGGTTCCTGCTTGTAGGCAGAGGGAGAAGTTTGCCTTGGTGTTTTGCATAACTAAATTATCCCTAGTTCTTTCGCTTGATAGGTAACACAACACATGGAAATAGATATAGCACCTCTATTTTACGAGTTGAGTAAAATACTACTACCCAGATACTCTCTTTCCCATTTCCTCTCTTATAAGTGTAGTTATAGACTTTTATAACTAATAAGAAACCCGGCCTTCTTAGTTTTAACTTGGTAGTTGTATTATCGAGAGCGGGCACTTCATTAAAATTCTACATTAGAATTCCTGCTCCCATTACTATTATTCGAAATATTTAAGTGTTTCTGAGTAGCGAGGAGTTCAAGAGTCAATGAATATAAATAATGTAAGGTTTGTTGGCGGTATATTTTATTCTTGGCTGGTGAATCTACATAAGGTATCTACCTACATAAGGTAGTAAACTCCGTGATGATATGTACCGAGGTACGCAAGGCAGGCGATTTACGGTCATTTGTGATTGGCTCAGAACGGCTGACGTTGCCGGTGTGGCTTGTGTGCGGGTCCACGTCTGCTGGTTGCTGGAAGCCTAGAAGGTGCCGCCGGAACAACAAAGTACAATCGTTAGGTACTTGGGTCCATTAGTTGGGGAGTTGCAGATCCACTGAAGCTCCTAATTGGCTCATTTGGACTTTTGTACATCTGTACAATACGAGCAATGTAACACAGACGCAGACGCAGACGCAATCAAGAACCACAGTCAAGAAACACAGTCAGCCATCATCAAGTTCAACCTCTTAAAAACATTTAAACATTTACCTAAACATCAACAACTTTGTTGCCTACCACTTCGCCTGCTATTCTAGCATAAACAAACAAATACACACTTTCACGATCACGGCTGCTGCTACGAAATATTATTACGAATAAACCGATCGAGAACGTAGACCGTTAGCTAGGGTTTGTTGGTATTCTACAAGGCCTTTGCCATTGAATCGCAAACAGACCCATCCGTCCCGATTTATCCAGTCGTCGTCAGCGCCCGTCTCCGGTCAAGGCTTTCGACTTTCGACCTCCCGCCTTCGATATTATCGACATAGTCAGTCCATCGACGACTATCAATCTTCAAGATGTCTCTCAAGGACGAGTTTGCGACGAGGAACTTCAGTAAGTTATTTATCCGGTGATCAGGCCACTGCAGCCTCCCTAGGTAGAGATGAAGCAGAAGCTAACAACGGCGCAAAAAAGGTATCTACGGACAATGGTAAGCTTTCTGGAAGACATCTACTCGTTTCCCTCTGGACTACACCTTGCGATATGACCGAGTTCAACCCATGCGACATGCTTTGGCTTCCAGAATTATTATCGGACCTACCCGGGTTGTTTATGCATCTGGGCTCTAATGCCTAACGTTTGATTTTATCTGCGAGGTGCTCGTCAATTGATGGCTAACATACTTCTCTTCGGATAGGCTTGGAATCCTGTCTATGCTCCTATGCTTTGCGCTGGGTATCTCGAACCTGTTCTATCTTTTCCTCCACCCTCTCATCATCATCTTTGCCATCTTCGCTCTGTAAGTTCCTCCCCTTTCCGAACGACTACATAGGAGAAATAACTTGGAAGCTAAACTACGTTATCATTAGCGTCTCCTGCTTCGTCATCCTCTTCATTGAGGTGCCCCTCCTACTCCGAATCTGCCCTACCTCGGCCGCGTTTGATGCTGCGATCCGCAAGGTTTCGACTAACTACATGCGTGCCGCTACTTACGGCGTCATGGCCATTATTCAGTGGGTTAGCATTGCCGTCGCTGCAACGTCCTTGATCGCCGCCGCTGTCGTCCTGACTTTCACGGCCCTTTGCTATGCCCTTGCTGGTGTCAAGGGCCAGGCCTTCGTCGGAAGTAAGACGCTAGGCGGTGCAGGTGTTGCACAAATGATCGTATGATCGGGTAATAATGTGGGACAAGTCAACAACCTCGAAGGCTAGGAGAACGCAACACTATACTCCCTGGCTTGCATAGGGGCAGTTGACGAGGAAATATCATTACCAACATGATACCAACATGATCGACGAACGTCCGGGAACCTCAGTAAAAGGAGCTGTGTCATCTGTGAAGGGAGTGTAGCTTTTGGGTCTTGTTCTTTTTATGCAGATGGGAAAAAAAAAGGAGGGTTTGCATTGTCTTTTGATATTCAGGGAACGGCGTAACGGAATACGATGCAAGCAAGACGGCTGCGGAATGTTCTTGTTTTCCCGGACTCGTTAATGCATCCAGAATGGAAGAGATACCCCAGTCTGGTGCTGGTGTTTTGAATCGGATACCACGTTTAAACCTCTTATCGTCACTGTGATCGTCACTGTGATCGTCACTGTGCTACTTGGTCTTCGTTTAACTGCAGGGCTACAGATAAGTATGAGTAGTAGCCTCACAGCCTCATTATCTTGTCACTCATTCCTGGTTTACCTATCGGTCGATATACCCTTGGCCAAGCCTTATTGGTAGCCGCTATGCCGGTAGCTACCAGATATTCAAGGTGATCCTAGCAATGCCGTAGTAAAGTAGTGTTGATCTGCCGCAATTCTAGAGCGAGGGACAAACTGGTCTAAGAGGAGATCTAGACTATGTAAAGCGTCATGGCAACATGGAAGCATTATACGTACCTAAGGTATGTACATACATACATGGAAGCTTGAGTCCCCCACATAAAACCCCCACTGCTCAAGTCTCCATAGCCGATCGATGAGTTCATATTAGACTACTCATCCAGGTCGATCCGACCATCTAGAATATTTAGAAAATTTTTACATTACATATACGCCTCAATCACGTATTTAGATGGTAAAATATCGTAGATACGATACAGCAGAGGCGGAAAACCGGATTAGTTATGGTAGTGAAACTTAATCGAGAAGTACCGTGTTCTCAGTCAGGTGTTAAATCCCTTTCAGGAACTCTAGAAGCTGAGAAGGTTTGAGCTATTCGCTTAGAGTTAGATCAAATGAAGGATGAGATGTACCTTAGTAGGTAGTATAAGTCGTGTGTAAGTCTCTTCTTCTACCCCCGGGTAGAATCCTAGTGTATTAACCTATTATCTTAGGTTAGATAAGCAAAGATAAGGTACATACATACATAACGTAAGTGAAGGCTGAGACCGCTGGACCGTGGGGAAACATGGCTGCATGTCGTCATTATTAAGAGAGGAAAAGGCTTTACGGAAGGAGTTGTTAACCTATGGATTCTCACGATAGCTTCCACTTTCTCAAAGGAGTCTATCATACTACACTTTCTCAAAGTTCGATTATATTCAATTCTAAACTTACCTATCTTATTTATATAAAATGAAGGGGAAAGAGTTTCTAAAAGATTACTATCGTCATTACATATGTACCTAATGCGTACATTCGGGGCTCACGAAGCGGGGAACCAGGATGGAGGCGTGATCACGATGATGTACCCGTCTGCCCGTCTGCCCCGTTACACTTAAGACCGGAGTTTTATGTATTCATTGTCATCCTACCTATTAGTACTCCGTGTAAGACATGAAGCTTCCTCGATAGACCGAGTTGCTACCGAAAGAGAGGAGCCGGATGTGCGACACGTATATATTTACCTAATACCTAATCGAATAAACTCGACGGACCGCAGAGCGGAAAAGTAGATCAGGGACCGGCGTAGCCCACCGGGTGGTTCTTTCGATTCACCGTAAAAACTCTGACGCACTACGTATCGTTTAGCCCATAATCAGATGACTACGTACCTAGGTAGGTAACCAGTTGAATTTGGGTAGTCTAGTAGTACATTTGAGGCTGATTATACTTATTATGCTTATTCTATCCTACTTACGTCTTATGGTAAATGCTACATTGCACGGTGAGACTTTTATGTATTCTATAAGAAGTTTTGATGCGTTGAAGCGTTGAAGAGGAATACAGTATGCTACTGTAAGTACTGTTTCCTCTCTTCTACCGGTATCACTTGCATTAACCCCATCCTGACCTATCCGCGCTAAAAGAATACGTTGAGGGGCAGAAGGGTGGTACATGCACCCGCTGAAGAGCTTTAAGGGGTTATTGGCATACTATGCAGTTGCGATTGGTTAAATTCGAGCTCCAGACCGCCTGCAGGCGTAAAGGAGATGGATGGTAAGTTGCAGCTATGTGTACCCCGAGCGTACCCCTCATTGCCGATTCATTGTGGCCGGCAAGAGCTTGTGACTTGAAAGAAAACGTACATGTTACATGCGGGGTACATCGGATAGGCTCAAATACACTACATTAGGTAGGTACATACCTCAAATTTATTGAATTGTTTTCAACATCGGACATCCTTGTTCAACACGAATTGCTGGTAGCTAATAGAAAAAATAGAAATCAAGATTATTCCATGACATCGCCAACGGCTTCAGGTACTTTGTCTAGTGCAGCTGATGTTACTAATACTGAACCGCTTACCTAGGTAGGAGATCCCGTTTTTGCTAGGGTGTAATTCGGGGAGGTGGGCAGGTATAAAAGTCGTCCAGGTCCCTCTCAGTTTCATCATCGTGATCTTAGTTACAGGTTCGAAACTTGGATATATTCAAGTCATATTCAAAAGCAGAAAATCCCTTTGTTTATACGAAGAACGAACTACATACCTTAACGTATTACTTGCTCGGTTGCGCAATTGGTAACTGCTTGTTGCAATTCTGATTACGGCTAAACCCGATCGACCTTTTTATTTTTACATCGTCGTTTCCGACGAGGTTTACTTTTAATAGTTTAATCCTCGAAAAGCGAAAGGCGACAACCTTCTTTTCCATTTTCCACTTTAAACCGTCCAAGACTCAACTTATTGAAGTATATAGGTACCTACCTAGGTAAGAATGGAAACAACCACCACATACCTACCCCAATCGAGATCGACCTAAACTTGCTGACCTGGCCAAGTCTAACCTACATCGACCGCCGACCAATCAAGTCACAAACGTGTAAGTGACCCCCCCTGCACAAAGCTTTTTTAAGAACCCCTCCATCGTTTGAAACCCATCCCATCTTCTTTGTTGGCAACAGAAGCCTTTTACTTCCTTCTTTTACCCTTCCACCCCTTCCGTGATAGATTCTTGTCTTGTCAACTCCTTTCGTCACCTCGAGAAAAGGGGTGGTGTAATTGACGAAGGATACGGGAAACGGGAAACGCAACATCTACATTCCAATGGCACTCTGACAGGGAAAACGTGGCTATATCGCCCAATCTGCTCCCGTTCCCTGATAACCACTTCATTCCTCTACCTCTTACATACGTTATATACATAACCTACCTGGCTTATCACTAGAACCTCTTATCTTCACATAATATCTTTATCTCTTCACCCTTCACCGCATGATACGGAAAGGGAAACTGGATCTAACGAGTAGACGACTAGACAAGCGTAAAACCTGACCCGTGTCTCATCACCTGGTCTCATCTTAGTGCATCTGACCGATAGTTGCGATTCCTGCGAGATTCTTCAAGCCGTCTCCTTCTAATAACCTGTGACATTCTTGTGTTATTATTTAATTTGACGGCCCGGTCCCGTACGGAAATATTTGAAGCCTATCGATATTTATGCGGTACGTATTAAATAACCTACCTTATTAATTAGGACTCTTCAGCCCCTAAACCCACAAGAAATCTATTCGGTGGATGGTCGATAGTGGATGGTGGATTGTGGATACTTTTAATATGTCGTTGTTGGCCTATCCTCGTTCTCGGTTCACGGTTCACTCTTCACTCTTCACATAAACCTGGCCATTGCCGTCCAATATTAATTACTTGACTCTTTTTTACCTTCGCTGACTTTTCTACTTGGATCTTTTAGGTCTCTTCATCGTCGACCGCAAACGAATCTTGACTGTTTCGAGCATATAAGCTAACCACTGTGTTTTCCCCTTGTAAGCTATGTCTTCTGCTGCCACGATGCAGTCAGTCCCGGCTATCCCCCCTCGTCCTGCGAGAGGTCAAGAGAAGGAGAATGGCTCAACTGTACCTGCGATCCCCCCGCGTCCCAACCGCCGTTTTAATCGTTCCGTATCTCCTAACCCGGATCGATTTGCTCCTTCACCTCTAAACGAAAGTCCATTCCCACCCAAAGGTACCGGTGCTGCTCGACACAGTCAAACCCATCTTGGTGAGGAACTGGAACGTCCTATGAGCGTTGAGATGCCCAGTGTAGGTGAAGAAGGTCGGGAGTACGCTGCAGCTATCGAAGAGCTGGGCTCTCCGGAGGCTAGCCGTCGTTCATCTACTTCTCCCGAACAAACCCGCACTGTTGGCGAGGACATTAAATTGCACGCACCGAAGCCAACAATGCCTGCTCAGAGTGCTAAACAGCGAGTCGCTGCGGTAACTCGCACCGATTCCGATAAGGCCGCAACCTTTGGTCTCGGACGTCCTTCCTACGAGGAGCAGGCTTATTCGGGCCGCAGCCTGAAGAAAAAGGCAAGTACTACGAGTCAGCTTTCCCATCAGAGTGAACTCTTCACCGAGGATGAGAATGGCATCCCTGAGATTGGACAACGTGTACCCATGTTAGCCAATGCAGGTGATGTTCAGGCACCCTCGCCTGCTCCAGCCCCGAGAGCTATGAGTACCGACGGGACAAAGCCTGCTCGGCACCATTCTCGAAGGACGAGTTCTCGAAATGGGTTTAACGACCTCCCCTCTGATGTCTATGGCCTCCATGGACACGGCGTTGCATCAAATGACAAACTTGAAAAGGCCTATTACGAAAAGCATCCCGACGTCCTCCAGAAGGAGCGCTACAACCATCTCCATGACCGTGCCCACGACTACTCAATGAGTAGTGAAGATCTCAACAAGATCGTTCGGGATACAGCCAGTCGCGGTGCTGGTTTTGGTAACGTAAACAGCCAATAAAGCTTTGAAGTGGTTCTAACCGATGATTACAGGTACATCAACAGATTATGTTGGGACTCCTAGCGAGCAAATCGGTTATCGGGCAACAGATGAATACACCTCACGAATTTCATCTCCCCAACCGCCATCCACGGCTCCCAAGTACGACGCGAACCTCGCTTCGGCCGCAAAGGATGAGACTGCTGATAATGCTAACAACGACAACGTGATTCACGTAGACGAGCCGGACCGACGTAAGGGATTCGCTCAATTCGGTAATGAGAAATCTGCCGAGGGTGAAGGTGCCGAGGAAATACACACCCATCCGATTCTAGCACCTGACGAAGTAGCTAAAGATCCCTCTCCTTATCAACTACAGCCTGCTGTTGAGCCTCCGTCGGAACGACATGGCAGTGCATACGAAATGGAAGGACCTAAGAGTCGCCCTACAAGTAGACCTGCAAGTATATACAGTCCCCCACTGCCGGAAATTCATTCGACCCCTTTAGAGGACGTTGAAGAGTATGAGCCATTATTCCCGGAAGACGAGAAGAGCGGCAAGAAACCCAAGACTCAGGCCGAAAAGTTAAAGGAGCATCGCCAAAGATTCCCTAGCCGTGATATTTGGGAAGATGCGCCAAACAGTGTGCATTCTACCGCAGAAGTCTCAACGCCAGAGTTGTTAGAGGCTCAGAAACAGCAAGCATCAGCCTTAGATGTGCCTCTGCGGGATGGCGAAACCCCCGCCCAAGCTTTTGCACGGAGGCAAGAGGAGCTGGCCGAAAAGGAGGCCGTCACCCCTGATAGCTTTTTATATCGCCAACAGAAGCCTCCGTCGTGGGTTGGAAACCAGCCGCATTTAATCAAGGAGATCCACAGTCGGCCGGGCATAGCTACTCATAGGTTTCCCAGTAGGGATGTCTGGGAGGATTCACCCGATTCTCTACAATATACTGCAACTGTTTCTACTCCGGAGAACATAGAGACACGGGATGACGATGATGTTGAAAAGTCGGTTGCCGACCAAACTCAGAAGCCTGCATTGCCCTCGCGCCCTAAGAGGCAAGGGTCGGGCGATGATTCTACTTCGAAACCTACGATTCCTGATCGTCCAAAACCTCAACTCCCTATTCGCCCTTCGAAGCCCGCTACGGAGTCTAAAGGACCAGAACAAACAGTAAAGCCGAAGCCTGCGGTGCCTGCAAGGCCAGCTGGCGGGAAGATTGCTGCTCTTCAGGCAGGATTTATGTCCGATCTCAATAAACGTTTACAATTAGGCCCCCAAGCCCCTAAGAAGGAAGATCCTGCCACGCAGGAACCCACCGAGGAGAAGGAGAAGGCACCATTATCTGACGCGAGAAAGGGTCGCGCCAGAGGGCCTCAACGACGAGCTCCAACTAAAGCTGCTAGCCAAAGTAACCAGGAATCTGGTCCTCCGCCGGTGTCCAACAATCAACCTACCCTAAGCTTCTCTATTACTCGCACCTTGTGGAGTATAGACGAGGAGGGTACCATGACGGTAGACGGCTTAGAGCCAGAAGCGTCACCAGAAACAGAAACAAAGCCTGGCAAGGCTACAAGTGAAGAACCCAAAGAGGCCCAACAACAAGCACCGACAGAGCAGGACAAGCAAGACGAACCGGAAGCCAAAACAGAAAACGAACTTGCAGGTTCCAAGGCAAGCGAAACGGAGAGCGAATCTAAGACAACAGAAACAAAAGAAGAGACCAAAACACTCGCTACCAATACTGCTGGCGAGTCCATATTAGAAGAGACTATCGCGAAGGAACCGTCGGGGGACCAAGTACAAAAGGTTGATGAGGTCAAAGACGAGGTGATAGAATGATAGTATCGCTCAAATATTACCGATGAGGCCGAATGCGAGCTTGTCGTATTTCATTTTTTTCCAATCTATTCCACATTTCCTTTTCGGTTGAGGAGAGGTGGTGCGGAGTAAATTTGGGAACGAGGAATACTATAGCAACGTAGAAAAAAAAAAAAAAAAAACCTGACGGGGGAAGGGGGGCGAAAATTCAGAAAAATCGTAGAACTCGACATATCTTTTGAAGATGTGTCCCATGTTGGTTTTTTTGGTCCTTGCCGGTCCGTTCCTTTTGCCGTCTTCGCTGCTTCGAATCTTGTAGCTTTGATTCGTTGTAGATTTAGTATATTAGATACACATACACCAGACTTCTTTCCAGTCAGTCGTATGGTTGCTTCCGCATATATAGCAGTTGGATGTTTCTTGAACTGTTATTTACTTGGTTCAAGGACACATGCGTATTGTTGAGTAGGTAGGTAGGGAATAAATGAAATAAGCTCTGAAGATTAGGTTTGCTAGGATTGTGGTGTTGGTTGTGGTAAGATAACTTGTGGGTGGGTGGACTGTTATTCAACAGTATATGCTTGTCACGATGCTAGAATCTTGGACGCCGATTTAACCTAGGTAGAATCACCAAAGAAAAGTCGAGATGTCCTATACCCTGTGGTAGGTAGGTAGAGAGGCAGACGGAACTAGGGAATAATACACATGACATAACAAATATATACGATTTAATCGAATCAACCCAGCCGAGTCTCTTCTTGGTACCTAGGGTCAGGGTCCAAAATGAACAGCTTGTCCGCTCCGATTCGCCCTGCGCTACCTACAATAACCATCATCCGATTCAATTCGATCCAATGCATCCGTATCCTAGTTTATCCTGTCCACTTAGTAGTACCCGTCCATACGCGCCGTCTTTCGCAGAGATCAACAATTCTGCTCGCGTAGTTTGTTTGTCGATGCTATGCTATCGTGCCAGATGTAGAAAGAGGACGAAGTTTAGGTATGGTATGTCTCGTCTCTCGTTTTGCTTTCTTTGCTTTCTTCACTTTCCATACTGATACTAATATTTGTTTGTTTCCCCCTTCTCCTCCCGCTACCGGAGAATCTCCAACTCGTCGTCATCGTCCTCATCCAGAATGACCATCTGCCTTGGTCTCGCCCTGCTACTCCTACTGCTGATATCTCTACTACTCCTATCGACGCCGGGAGTAGCAGCACGGGTATTAAACACGCCTTCCACCACCCCCGCGCCCGGGGCCAGCTCCGCGCCGAGACTCTCGCGCCCCGCCTCGCGGATGCCTTTTTCCGTGACGAAGCGCGTCTTCTTGCGAGCCGGGGATCTAGAGGCAGAGCTGCTGGCGGCGCCGGCGCTAACGCTACTACCGTCGTTATCCGCATTACCAATCCCGTCGCTACTTGAATTCAGGTTTATCGCGGGCCGTAATTTCTCACCGTCTCTCATGCGAGTTAGTTTCTCCTTTAGGTTGCCGCCCCAGCCGAGCGCAGGCTTGCTACTACTAGCGAGTGCCGCAGAGCTGGAGGATGGCCGCACGCCCTCGCTGCGCTTGCGCTTTATAGGGCTGAGGTGCATCTTAGGTTCCTGGCCCTTTTCACGGACTAGGCCGAGGGATCTAGCGTCGAGATCTTGCCTGGGCTCGTTCCCAGCGGCTTGTGACGACGAGGTTGCGAATAGTAGGCTAGAGCTCGAAACCGAGCGTTGGGTGCTGCTACCACCACCACCCCTTTTCATGTACTCTTTGCCCGCACCAGACCCGACCTTGCCTAGCTGTTTCATGATATCGCGCTCCTTCTCCTGGGTCGCAAGGCGTCTCTTTAGGGCTTCGCTGCGCTCGGTGCGGTCGGCGATCTTCCCGCCTAGTATCTCGTTGTCGAGCATACTGGCAGCGCTAGGCTTGGAGATGAACCACTGACTTTGCGTGCTTCTGTCGAAGTTACCCCTGCTCTTTGTCTTAGGGTCATTGGCGTGCTGCTCCCAGTCGTTAAGGCGGTACGATTTCTTGTATCTCCTACCCTCTCCGTCGTCTTTCCTTGGGCCGAGTCCGGTGTTGAACGCATTTACGTCTTGTCGGGCCTGTCGGTGCTTGGCCAGCCCCATGTTCATATGGAACTCGCAGAACTCGGTGCGCTTGCGGTTAACCCAACTATTACAATGCTCCCCATCCTTTTTTATACTCTTGCAGAACCCAAGGTCTCGTGCCGTACCTATCTCTAGAATGGTATCCTCGCCACTGTTGATCACTAGACTGAAGCGCCCTGTGTCGGTCCGGCCTGGAGGCGGCGGCATGACATTTGGATTCAAGATAGCTAGAAGTGTACCTGGAACTAATTTCCAATATCGATCAAAGCCAGAGTTGAAAAGAAAGAGCTCGAGTTCCCATTGTAAATCGACAAGCTGTAGGACCATGTACTTTCCCCTCGTCGGGTCAGACTCTACTTTTTCTTTTAAGTTGTTGTTTGAAGTCTTATGCGAACGAGGGTCGGACTTTGACGCTAGGATACCGAAGACTACTATGTCCTGCTCGATCTCCGGGAGCTGAAAATCTGGCGCCTTGACGTGTTTTAATAGATCTTTTATCACGTACGTCTTCTTGCCTGACAGATTCCGTGTAAGAGTCGTATGTGGTATTACTCGCTTCGAGAGGTGGACACTTGAATATGGCTCAAATGCAGAAGCTTCCTCTTCCGGTACTTCTTCAGGAGGTGCCTGAGGTTCTACTGTCCTCCCTGAGCTGGTCCCAGGGCGATTCTCATCAAGCGTAGGCCGTCTTAGGCTAGAGACGGTATCACTACGTTTAGTCCGAGCACCGGCCATGACTTGTTCGCGGCTGTACTGTTCGGGCTGTAAGGGGATGTCGGGTATATCCTTGGCAGTGCTTTTTAACTGCTCCATTTCCTGTCTGCCTAGCTCAAAGGCGTTACTCCTTGCCTGCCTCACCCTTTCCTGCCTCTCTAGCCGAGTTGACTCTTCCGACCTAGCCGCGGCTAGTCTCTCACTAAAAGTCATGGGCCGTTCCTGTTTCGTCTGTTGCTCAGCACCACCAGGAGCGGGCGTGTGCGCTCTTCGAAGATAACCTCCTTGGGTCCCATTCCCATTTTGGTTCTCAGTAGTCCTCTTAAAGCTTGGAGCTCTTTTCAGCGATATGTCTTTCGCTTTGATTCCCTTGTCTATACCAAGACGTACCCTGCTAGGGGAGCTGTCGCCTTGCGCCGTTTGCGTCCTCCTCACCGGAGATGCTGGAACTTGCACTTCCATTTGCGACTGTGGCCGTGTCGGTAGGCCTGAACGTAACGAGTCTGCTCGAGAGCGGGCTCTGCTAGTAATTGGAACGTCCGGTATAGACATAGATTCAGGCCGTGTCGTAGTACTCTCTCCAAGGGTCTTCTTTGCTTTGGCGCTTTGTAATTTCTTTAGTTTGAGTTTCGCCTGGATTGCTTGCAGCTTCAATTGCAGCATCTCCTCGTCCTCATCATCGTCATCGTCTTCATTCTCATCTATATCCATTCCAGCGTCTTGTGCGCCGCCGCGAAAAGAATTTCCGGTCCGGGCAGACAGCGCGGGTACCCGTCGATGTATCTTACTCGGAGACGGCGAGGGTGAGGATCGCTCGGCCATGCGACGTAGCTTTTCGCGTCCCTTAGGTGTGCTAAGGAGAACGTCGTGTGGAGATCGCGGGGGCCATTGAGTCTCGGACTCTATACCGGGTCCTGCCATTTTGTGATATACAGTTTGACGTCGTTGTTAGAGTAAAGTAGAGCGATAACGTCGACGCCATTAGAGTATATAAGAGGTAAGTATCGTAATCATCATTCGCATTCGCTGTTTTCCATCCACCCGTGTTTGCCCAGTACTGTAGCAACAGAAGTTATGAAGTTATGGTTAGGACCTTGGGTATGCTGGTATGTCCCCTCCACTTCGAAACCTGCAGGGGTCCGTCGCCTTTACTGGCTCTAGTCTTATATCAACTAACAAATATAGAACAGATGCGTGGCAAACCGTCCAGGGTCAAAGCAAAGTGTTTGGTTGTGCGTAGTTAGGTTGAACTAACAAGAGTGTATTCTACACCGCCGCAGAATCAATACATCCGTTAAAGTTGAGTTTGGATAATTGCGTGTAAAAGTAAAACTGAGAATTGTATAGTTAAAGTTAAACGTTGTCTCGCAAATGGTTCAGAGGTATTACAAGAATACAAAATACATGAAAGTATGGATGTACTTGAATATCGATAAGTGTCGGGACTTAAAGTGCAGTTACACGGGTAGCCATGGGCAGCCGTGGTTAGATCCATCTACATAAATGACAGCGGATAATTGGCATAGTGGAGACGCGATTTTTCTCTTTTAGCGAGACGCGACTTTGCACCAGAAGCGCGTTAACAGGGGTATTAGTACCTTATTAAACCCTTCAATTGTTACATATATCTAAATATCTTACATAAGAAAATACCCTTGAAATCCCCATCAATAGGATAGGAGAATTGATTGTTGATTAGATCTTTATTAAGCTTGATCTACGGAATACATGTACTAATTTACTATGTTAATATAACATTCAACAACATGGCAAGGACAACTAGGTCAAAGGCGAGCGCATCGGCTGCCGCAACATCAGATACTAAATCAACGACAACGACCTCTAGCACCAAATCAAAATACGCATTACCTACGGAATCCATAAATCCACCCAAGCTCTTCATTTTTCCTACCAGCGCTACCAAAGATGCGAAAATAGTCTCGCTATTAAACCCAAGATACTCGAAACCGACGAGATATCTAGTATGTCCGGAAACTGGCATATACGAGTTCACCAGTATCGCTGCGCCCAAGACGACGCCCAGAAGCTGGTTGATAGAATGCGGTGATACAGGCAAAGTAGAAGAGAAAACAAGCAAAGATGGCGCTGAGCTCGGCACTTATGTCACTAAAGGCGCCGACTTATATGTCGCGACCCTCGTCGATCCTATGTTCCTCCTTCTGCCTGCATTTGCAGACCAATCAACAAATACCAAAACCAAAGATGGAAAGCAGATGTTTGTGTCTAGCGACGACCACCTCGAGTCCATACGCGACAAGTCCCCACACCTATCTGAGATACTGCGATGGGGGAATGTACGGACCTTACTAGAGTCGCGGATGGCCGCAATATGCGATACGGTAGATGCAGGCAACGAGACCATGTTCCGTTTCAGCCAAGACAAGCTCTTAAACGAAGTGCTGGGCAAGGCGCAGAAGATGAGCGAGCAACCCTTGCCGAAAAGTATGGAGGAAAAGTTTGTGATCAAGGCTCTAGAAGCGCCGGTCGTGGGTATAAAAAGAGAGAATACGACGACGCTGTCTATCTCACAGCAGACGGAAACACAAGCACAATCAGAGACCCCAGCGTCAACTTCAACAGCATCGACCCCCAAACCCGAGTCTGTCGAAACCCAATCTTCTACTTCATCTACAGAAACAACTACAACACTCGTATCAGAAGCATCTACAACTGCTACCTCAGTCATCGAAGAATCGATAACCACTACTACTGCCGCAGAACTAACACCTTCACTCGGCGCCTCTCCAGAAATCATAAAACTACAACGCCTGCGCACGGCCTTCAACTTCATCTGCTCATGCTACATTGCCCCGGCACAAGCCGCGCAATTGCAGACGAAGCTCAAGGAACAGAACCCCCCGGCAGTCGACTTCGCGCCTCTGGACACTTACCTAGAGGATATCAGCAAACTACGGCAGGAGCTGGCCGCAGCGCGTAGCGTGGGCGACTACTCGCGAAAACGCGTGTTAGACGAGGAGGAGCTAGCGGATCGCGCCGAGAAGAAGCGCCGGAAAGAAGAAGACGAGAAGCGGAAGAAGGCCGGCGAGAGCAGGGGCGTGAAAAATCTAAAGAAGGTAAATACGGTGGGGATGAAGAAGATGAGTGATTTCTTCAAGAAAAAGTAGACCTGGAATAAAAATAGGAATAAGTAACGGCGTTTGGAAACGGCATGTCATCAATCAAGTGTGTATAGATAGTATTTGGGCTTGGGCTTAGGTTTAGTCTTTGGATATCCGTGCCCGTTCATCATTCGTGTATACCTAAGACAGCGGCATAATCATCAAATCAAGCCTTTTTAAAGCTTTATCGTATCCGTCCTCCTTTTAACTAATAGCCTCGCGTCCCTCTCGACCTTCCTCTCAAGAACCCTCGGCCAATCCCCGAGGTCCCTCTAGCAGTACTCGTAGAGCTTGTGTCTGCTGCGGATGTAGGTCTGCTAGACGCGGATGAGTACACGCTTCGCCCTGTGGTCGTCCCTCTGCCTCTGGTACTAATGCTCCTGCCGACCCTCGTTCCGCGCGCCGTCCCTCTAGTGCTAGTTGAGCTGCGCGTGCTGGTGGTGGTTTCGCGCTGGCGCTGTTCTTCCTCGTGACGGCGTCTGGCTTCGGCGCGACGACGCTCGTCTTCAGCAGCGCGGCGTTCAGCTTCGCGCGCCCTCTGTTGGGCCTCAGCTTCCGCATCGGCTAAGTCCTGGCTTGCGCCTTTCCAGGAAGGGTTCAGGATAAGTCGCTGGTTGTGTTCGGTCTGCGACAGGATGCGCGTCCAGGTATTAAGGAGCGTGGACGCGGTGTTGACGGTACTAGAGACGGTCTAAGGGGTGGAGGGTTGAGTCAGCTTAGTTGCGTCATGCGGGGAGGAGGGGGGGATAATAAGTAGCCAGGGATGTAACCGCGGGCGTCATATTCGAAGCATATAGGGATGAAGATAAGTAAGGAGTAAGTAAATAGTGTATAGCCATACGTGCATATTGCCCTTCGCCCGCTCTAGAGTCCCGACTACGCCCTCGATCAGCTCATTGATGTTCCGAACGCCTTCTAGCTCCCGACGTAGGTTGGCCTCACGGCTCTCTTCCGGATCGTCATAGCGATTATTCGGGGGGTTAGAGGGGGTTTTGGGTCGGGCTGGTTGTTCTCTGGAAGCGTGCTTTGCAGAGGGCGAGGCAAATAGATCCTCAGTGTCAGATTCGTGATCGGACATAGTTGCGCGGCAAGGAAGAAAAATTATAGGGAATACTGCGATACGATATCGCAATAGCTGCGATTGGCGATAGGCGGAGTGGAGGGGTAGCTAATGATGCTAATGGTTAATCCAGGGGTAGACAAGCCGCCAATAGATTTAATTATTTCCAAAATAGGCTCCAATGGTGGTTTACAAACTTAGTAAAACTTAGTAGTGACGTAGGTTGCAATGGGTTGCAATAGGTTGTAACCTTCTATGTTCTATGTGTCTTCCTGAAGCTAACCTTCCTTGGTGTCTAAGGCATTCTCTAAAGGTAAATTTTGTTGACATGTGTTGTCGTGCAGCAGTGTTTTGCGTTTTGGTTTGTGGAGACAATTGTGTGCTGGCTTCTAAATTGGCCAATTGAACTCGGATGTCTTTACTTATCGACATAACTTTAGCCGTCCAATTTGTGGTGGGGCTAAGCTTTGCGACGCGTACCTACAGAGTGCAGGTGCGCGTAACGCGTTGCAGAAGGTACCTAGGTACGCAGATACGTAGTCCGTACATAAAAATATGTCACTTTTAATGTACCGTGGGATATGTACAATAAAACTATGAAGAGTACATGCCATACCACATAAATTGAGCGTTGGCGGTAAGTACCTCGTAACAATTTCATTAAGACAAACAGGGGTGTTACCAGTGGAATGTCATAATACCCTAATTTAGGTACTTATGTAATTTGGCAGCTACTACCGCACGTTCCACTGCAAGTTGGGATAGTTCGAGGTATCCCCCCGACAGTCTGGACAGCCCAGCCACTTCAAACTTTCACATCCTACCACCCATATCCCTAATTTGATCAAAATTCCCACTCCCAACTTCGTTCCCACGCATCAAGCCACCAACACCATTTGATCTCTACGCTCCTTGTCGTTAGACTTAGTCAACTTGGCTTGTTACCACGTCTAGCACCACTGTAACTCATTGCTACTAATCATTATATCAACATTTTACTACTTTAATCTGGTTTCGCGAGCAACCGCAAGTCGAGGACGGAGGTAGCAAGCAAAAAAGCAAGCCCAACGCGATCGCCCCTTGTTTAACTATCGTCCACTCATCCATCCTTGGCCTTGCCTACTGCCCCTTCGCACTAAAAATCGTTCTCCAAATTTGCACTTAAGTCAAGCAGTGTTCAATTGAACCAACGCGTCAAGATTTAGAGAATATTACCGTTCCATGAGTCGAAGAATATTGCGATAATTGAAACCCCGAAATCTAGCCCGCGCCCATCGTGCGGACCTCTAATTACCCAACTGAGCTTAAAGGACGCTGCCTTAAAGCAAACAAAAACAACAATGGCGTCTTTCTCAGTCTCAACACCCTCCCCGCCAGGTCGAGTGCATACTCCAGGCACACCAAAATTTGGTTACAACGATTCTTGGGAGCCTTTCTCTCCCCGAAAATCTGCCCGCATTTCAGCTCAGCGCTCAACTCAACGCACGCCCTCTCCCCGCGCTCCGCAACACCGCACTCGCGCATCTACAAGGATTTCCTCGTCGGATATTTTTGCTACTCCTGCCACTTCTTCTCCGAAAAAGCGTCAGCCGGCCATGGACTCCGTACGACGCGCCTCTGGCGCTTTAACTTACGAAGGCACCTCCAACGCTGCCGATTCACTCGGAACTTCTTCGTCCCAGCACAAATCCAAGGCCAGCACCGCCGCTTCTCGAGCCGCAACTATGTTCCCCACTCCGGCCAAAACACCCAAGAAGCAGCCCGACGAGAAGGCCAAGGCTAATGTTCGTGCGATCGCACGCAGTCTATTCTCAGAGACCGATGCAATTGCAACTCCTAAGAAAAGAAAGGCTAAGAAGTACACCGGCCTGACACTGGATAGCTTCACTGCTGAAGACGTCGAGCAACCTATCGAGATCTTCACCGACACGCGCGACCGCATCCCCGAGGCAGATGATACTGCTGCTAATCCTTTCTACGAAAAGCACCCCGCATCGTCTACTGCGGAACCCAAGTCTCCTAAGAAGCGAGGCCAAGGCAAACAGATTTCTGTCCCTGGTGAAGGCAAACAGCCTCTCGACAAAGTTTTGCAACGAGAGGATGGAATCATCTATGTTTTGTAAGTTATCATCCCATTATCATCCCAAGTCTACCCGCATTTTAATAACCTATACTAATAAATATTCTTTTTATAGCCGAGGAAAGAAAATCTTCCGCAAGTTTTCGTCTAATGAGGATGTAGATTCGGATGAATCTGGTAGCGAGAGCGAGGAGGTAGAGCTAAGCCGAGCTCAGAGTCATGAGCGACTACGTCCGTTGACCCGCTCATCTATCAAACCGCGTCTCCTCTTCCCTACTAAGGGCAAGAATGTTGCCAAGCCGACTACAGATGATGAGGAAGCTGCTACGGATATCGAAGATCACGTGTTCAAGGATGTGGAAAAGGATGTGGAAGAGGAGGATGAAATCGAGGCTCCTACGACCCCTACCGCTAAGGTTACTGAGAAGCCAGGTACACCTACTGCACCTAGATTCGCACCTGCTTCCCCTCCCAGCACAGTTCGAACTCGACGCACTGCTTTACACGCAAAGGCCGTCGAATCACCCATGAAGGTCACCAAGTCGCGCAGCCCCTTCGATGGCTGGCGTCGCTCTAAGAGTCGTGCTGCTGCACATGGTCAGAAGCGAGAGGGCGAGGATTTGGCCAGACCAAACGAGTCGTCTAAGCGCCAGCGTGCCTAGTCGGCGGCTTTGAGCGATACTATGACTCGTCTGCAGCAGCTGGGAAGTCTTAATGGAAAAAAGCTGCGAAAATCGTCAGCCTAAGTTTCTTCATGATCTCCTTTCCCCTTTGTGGTTTTGGATGGGAGGAATTCGGTACATTTCAGTACATTTCGGCACAGTAAGGGTCCGAAACGGAAAGCTTGGTTTTACCAAGAGGTGTTGGGCGTCGTTCCCCGTATGTCAAAGGTGACTTGATCAAGAAAAGCCACAGAAAGGGTTGCTATTGCTATGTAGATGTGTTGTTGGACTAAGAATCCAGCCATGTTAATTGTTGCAGGTGGTGGGCTCAGATAATTAGCTTTGCCTTCAGAATGAATTGAGTGTTTTTTTAGTAAGGTTGAGGATTATTATCGCGTTGGACAGGAGAGGTTTATTATTGTGATTGGCGGGTTGAGCTTCTGAGCTTTTTTGTACCTATTCTTATAGATTCACATCGCCGACAACTACATCGCCGACAGCTGCGGACGAGGTTATTTGCTTTACTTATACCTTGCATCCTTTAGCAGTCTAGCTACGTATTGCTATCAGATAATCAATTTACACACGTCGCCGATATCCTGAGTTATTATATACCTATATACCAAATGTGATTCAGGTAAGATGACTTGGTCTAGATTCTGCCTTAAAAGCAGTGTGAATAAGAGGTGGTTATTATTCTCTTATTCCCCCCTATTACGCTGGGGGTCTAATTAGGTACTTAATTACCTCTATAACCAGGTATGTATACCCTAACTATTTTATTTAGATAACTAACTAAAGGAAGCCGTACTAAGATTTAGGTATCACGTCATGTAGTGTACTTGTGGTATAAACAAATTAAGGTGCAATTCCACCTTTGCCCCGCCCCCGCCTAAATTTCACCTTCGCATCGCATCTCCCCATAGACGTATCCAACTTTCCACTATCACATATTTAACTTATCGACACCTCACCTCGATCAGTCATTTTTTAAGTATTCGAAAGGTCTCCTACGTTGCAACAAGCCATCTGTAGTTTCAACAACTCCAATTGGCCAAAAAAAAAAAAAAAAAAAAACCTTTGTACAAAATACCTAACCATACATTACCATGCATATATTAGTGACCAACGACGACGGTCCACCGTCTCCGACCTCGTCACCTTACGTACATAGTCTAGTCCGAGAGCTTCAAAAAAAGGGGCATACCGTCTCCGTCTGCTTACCACACGCCCAACGTTCCTGGATTGGGAAGGCCCATATGATCGGCCAGACCGTGAAGCCTCTCTACTACCGCCCATCTGCGACCTTCAACCCGTTGCCTAGCGCTGCCTCTCAAGCTCAGGGAACTATAAACACACGTCCAAGCAAGGACAGCAAAGAGGAAGAATGGATTCTTGTTGACGGAACACCAGCTAGTTGCGCCCAGATTGGCCTGCACCATTTCTTCCAAGAAAAGGGCCCTGTTGACCTTGTGGTATCGGGTCCCAATTATGGTCGGAATACGACGGCAGTGTTCGCCCTGAGCTCTGGTACTTTAGGTGGCGCACTCGAAGCCGCCGTGTGTAGAAGGAAAGCTATTGCGTTGAGCTACGCATTTTTCAGCCGTAACCACGACCCCACAATCATCGATGCCGCTACCCGGCATAGCGTGCGCGTTATCGAGAAGCTGTATGCTCAGTGGCCAACAGACAAGAGCGTTGACCTATATTCGGTCAACGTGCCACTCATCGAAGGCGTCGACGAACATAAAACGCTGTGGACAGAAGTGCTGCAAAACTATTGGAGCGAATCAAGTGTCTGTTTCGAGGAGGTCGAGGGGAGTGTTGGCGACGAGGAAGAGGAAGAGGAGAGAATAAGAGAGGGAGAAGAAGCGGGAGCACCCGGCGGCGTCGAATCAAAAGCAAATGGCGATGGTGATGAGACGAGCCAAACGCGGTATAAACACAGACATTTCAAGTGGGCGCCAAAGTTTGCGGATGTTTATAAAAGTGTCGAGGAGTCGCCGCCAGGGAATGATGGATGGGCGGTGAAGGAAGGTTTCACAAGGTAAGTTAAGATCTAATCCCCTTTATACCGACGACGTCGACGGCGTCGACGGCCATGCTTGTACCCGAGCCTAATCAACGATGCAGTGTAACACCAATGAAAGCAAATTTTTATCATACGGCAACACATCTACACGGAGAGGAGTTGAAATTGTGAGTTGAGTCTACCGCATTGCATTTGGTTTTGGATGGCAGCATTATAGACAGCCCGAGCTTGCATGGCCGCATAACCGGACCATCAGATAGACAAAACCTCATCATCTTCTACATCACATAAAGTAGGTGAGCTATGGTGAAGAAGCTGTCGAGTATTCTACAGATGCCGAATGCTTGTAATGTGCGTACATCCCTTGATCGCCGTTCTCATGTTATCTTCTCCAGGGATGTATCGGATACCTCAGGAATGACAATGTCTACATCGACCTTAATATACCGACCCAAGCAACATTTCTACGCCTTGATCGCCTACGAAGACCCCTATGTCCAACCACTTATACTATCTGCCCTGAAGAAGTTCTTTTCTCCCGAGTCCTACACTTTACTCTCGATACCCGACTTAGTAGTCCAGGGTGAACCTATACCACTGAGCAAGCTATTACCAGAAAACAGCAACAGTTCTGTCCTACAAATCACACCCTACGAAGCCATCGACTGGGATTATGTAGACTCGCACGCAGAGAAATGTATAGTAAATAGCTACATGCTGCGTAAGGCATTGATACGAAAGCATTACTTATCGGCAACTGTTGAGCAGTGGGTAGCCAAGCGTCCCGAGTCGGTGTTGAAAACACACGTTAAAAGGAGTGAGGCATTCGAGCTGGACTATGCCGAATTCCTAGATGATGCCCTTGTCGAGGCTTTTGACTTACGTGCAAGCCTGGAGAAGAATGAAGAGCAGGAACCAGGCCGCGAGATCGAATGGTGGATTCTCAAGCCCAGTATGAGCGATAGGGGACAGGGCATCCGGTTATTTAGCACGATGGAAGATCTACAAGGCATCTTTGACGAATGGGAAAAGGACCTACCGGATAGCGAGGATGAGGATGAGGATGAGGATGACAATAGAAACGAAGGGGACCAAGAGGATGACGCAGTCTCGAATTCCGATCCCGAGAGGCGCAACAATATTACCACCTCGCATCTTCGTCACTTCGTGGCTCAGCCGTACATACACCCACCACTCTTATTGCCCGGCGATAACCGCAAGTTCCACATCCGTACGTACGTCGCGTGCATTGGTCGATTGGACGTCTACGTGTACAAGGACATGCTAGCGCTCTTCGCAGGAAAGCCTTACACCGCGCCCGCCACCAACACGTCGGCCGTCGACCTCGAGGCCCATCTAACCAACACGTGCCTACAGCGGTCAGTCGACGACGGCACAGTCCGACGGTTCTGGGACTTGCCGCTGCCGCAGGAGCGGAAGGCAGACGTGTTGGCGCAGATCTGCGCGGTGACGGGCGAGGCATTCGAGGCGGCGGCACGCGCTATGCAGATGCACTTCCGGCCGCTGGCCAACGCGTTCGAGATCTTCGGCCTCGACTTCCTGGTCGATGCCGACGGTACCCCCTGGCTCCTCGAGGTCAACGCGTTCCCGGACTTCCGACAGACAGGCGACGAGCTCAAGGGTTTGGTGCAGGGGCTCTGGGAGGAGGTGCTGAGGCGCGCGGCGGTGCCGTTCTTGGGGTTTGGGGATGGCTTGGGAGCGGGAGTGGGTGCGGGAGCGGATGGAGGAGGAGAGGAGGGGGAGGGGGAGGGGGAACGGCTGGTGCTTGTTAGGAGAGTTGAGTTGGGGAGGTAGATATATCGATAGATAGATAGACGAATAGAGTGTTTCCGCTTGGCAGGAGTACGCTTATTGCTGGTTATGTGTTGATTATCTTGTGGGCTTGAATATGGCTGGGTTATAATGGGCTAGACACTACAACCTACTATAGCTATATTAGTAGTTTAAGATATGTAGGTTCAGAGTTCCTTTGGAGTTCCTCGCCGAACAACTTTGTTGTTTCCGTGCCTTCCAAGTCCATCCCGTGATAGTTATTTTCTTACTGTATTCTCGCATAATCATTAGGTCGCGGTGTAGTATCACAAGAAGCGGTAGCCCTAAGCTAGCGGCCGAGTCTAAGTAACACAACTACCTATATACCTTGTATGACACATGTAGCATGCTCATTCACGTAGCACACACGCGGGAAGCTTGATCTGTGTTGGCCTGGTGACAATGGAGGAAAGGGCCCCGGCAGTTCGCCATGTGGTGGAACGCATAAATGGGTAGTTAGCTCACATATTGTACGAGTTAAGGGGGTAGTTAAACATGACGGACACTATGCGAGGATGGAGGATATAGGTAGTTCCAGTGCTATGAGGAACTTGTTCTTGAAAGCTTGCGGTAGGATAGCACGAGGAGATAGGAGTTTCTATGTACTTCGTATGTGGCTATGCTGCTGATCTTATGGGATTTTATTAATGGGTTCTCATAACCAAGTTAAACATTGGCCACGCAGTCTTGCCTCCTCTGTCAATCCGTGGCAAACCAGCCAGTCGGCGGAGAGAGAAATAATCCGTGTATTCTATGTTCTCTGTGTAAGGTGGTGTGAGCGGTGAGATATCGCCCCAACCTCTCCCTCCCAGCATGAAGCGAACGTAATTAGGATGTCGCATAGTTGCCGCCGAGAAGTAATTATGAGGCTATGGAGCCAAGATGTATCATAACCAAGTTTGTTTGTTCCTACACACTTGGCCGTCTTAGTCCATAAGAGCTTGTACCAAGGTTCTTATCTATCAATGACCCGACGTCCTCGCCTCGTAAAATATCGATATATTACAATATTACACATTACACTCACTCACCTTACTAATACGGCTAGGCGATTGCGTGCTCGTTGGATATTGTTCCCTGGTTTTTATGAAGTCCTCGAGTTGTGATCGAGAATCGCCCCGATCTGATACGATGGATGGACGGTATGTAGACAAGCAACTAGGTTTAGTTTAATGAACGCGCGACGGAATGAGACGTCTGGCTCAAAACTATCGAGCACTGCCACGCGGAGCTGACTAGCGCTAGGCAGGCTAGATGCAGCTTCAACCCGACGCCATGGTGAAGAGCCAAGGAGATTTGAGATTTCGAGATTCCTAACAGGATATAATGCTATCTTGTGCGATTGCGTACGGCAGAGCTCCGCCCCACGGGTATGTTTTATGACAACCCTCTTCTTATCTACCTATTGCACATGCGCTTCATAGTGCGTTTCAAAGTGCACTTCTTGGTTTGGCCAGTGATATTAATGAATGTGATATGCTATATGCTATATCGTGAAGGGAGGAGATTCTTGAAGCTGGACGGTTCGCGACGATGATGGACGACATAACCCCAGCCTTGGCATGCTCTGCACTGCATGTATTTCCAGAACCCCATAGGTTAGTTGCTGTGCCTCCGGTTTGCAGATTCAGTGCCGCATTGCTATGAATTTTATATTAAGCTTCGGCCATACGTTGGTGAGATGAATGCTCTCCATAGAGATATATTGCCATCTATCTCGAGTAGATAGTCT